TTCAAATTTGTATTCAGGTAAAAGTACATATATAGAAGATGAGTTACAAACATAATGTTGGATTTATAGATAGATAGATAAATATTCATGGAGTTCTTCCAGCTCTGATCTTTGTGTAGAAAATTGGTCGTGTTGATTATTATTATTGTAGCTCTGAAGATGAGAAGCTCAAGTACTGGATGTTGTTGATTTAGAGAGGCAGTATATTATACAAGTGAGCCCTGGCTGGTGTAGTGAGCCCTGGCTGGTGTGGTGAGTCCTGGCTGGTGTAGTGAGCCCTGGCTGGTGTGGTGAGCCCTGGCTGGTGTAGTGAGCCCTGGCTGGTGTAGTGAGCCCTGGCTGGTGTGGTGAGCCCTGGCTGGTGTGGTGAGCCCTGGCTGGTGTAGTGAGCCCTGGCTGGTGTAGTGAGCCCTGGCTGGTGTAGTGAGCCCTGGCTGGTGTAGTGAGCCCTGGCTGGTGTGGTGAGCCCTGGCTGGTGTAGTGAGCCCTGGCTGGTGTAGTGAGCCCTGGCTGGTGTAGTGAGCCCTGGCTGGTGTAGTGAGCCCTGGCTGGTGTTGTGAGCCCTGGCTGGTGTAGTGAGCCCTGGCTGGTGTAGTGAGCCCTGGCTGGTGTAGTGAGCCCTGGCTGGTGTGGTGAGCCCTGGCTGGTGTAGTGAGCCATGGCTGGTGTAGTGAGCCCTGGCTGGTGTAGTGAGCCCTGGCTGGTGTAGTGAGCCCTGGCTGGTGTAGTGAGCCCTGGCTGGTGTGGTGAGCCCTGGCTGGTGTAGTGAGCCCTGGCTGGTGTAGTGAGCCCTGGCTGGTGTAGTGAGCCCTGGCTGGTGTGGTGAGCCCTGGCTGGTGTAGTGAGCCCTGGCTGGTGTAGTGAGCCCTGGCTGGTGTAGTGAGCCCTGGCTGGTGTAGTGAGCCCTGGCTGGTGTAGTGAGCCCTGAGGTAATCACTCAGTTTCTACTCTCTACCTGTTATTTTCGTCAGTGGGTGGGTGGTCTTCCTCACCCTACCCCCCCCCCCCTTTTCCCCCACCCCCCTTCCCCCTCAGACACCCTCCCCCCAACTCTGATTAAAAAAAAAGATAGTTAAATAACCAAACACCGTATTTGGGGATTTGATTTATACGCTGATTTATTGCCGCAACGCTCGCCATGTTTATGTTTTTGCTGGTGTGTCGCTTCTCTTTTGTTTCCTGTACGTTTAGTCGTGAAAACTTCCCTCTCTCATCTCTTCTTCCTTCCTCCTTCCCTTTCTCCCTTCCCTTCTTCCCTTCCCTTCCCTTTCTCCCTTCCCTTCTTCCCTTCCCTTCACAGTCTGGATGTGTGGGGGTTTCCTGGTGGCTTTTATCACATGGAACTAAACCGACGGATATTGGATAAGCGCCAAGGAGGGAGTGGTTGTCATTTTTGGAGTGATACAGTGTTTTGTCTTGTGTTGGTTCGTGTTGAATTGTGGTGTGTTGTGGAGCATTATGATGACATGTGCTAGGTTTGGTGTTGCACTGTGCTATCATTAGCTGCTGCTGCTGCCCTGTGCTGTGTTGTGTTTTGCTGTGCTGTAGAGTGAGTGTGGCCAGGCTGGTAGAGTGAGTGTGGCCAGGCTGGTAGAGTGAGTGTGGCCAGGCTGGTAGAGTGAGTGTGGCCAGGCTGGTAGAGTGAGTGTGGCCAGGCTGGTAGAGTGAGTGTGGCCAGGCTGGTAGAGTGAGTGTGGCCAGGCTGGTAGAGTGAGTGTGGCCAGGCTGGTAGAGTGAGTGTGGCCAGGCTGGTAGAGTGAGTGTGGCCAGGCTGGTAGAGTGAGTGTGGCCAGGCTGGTAGAGTGAGTGTGGCCAGGCTGGTAAAGTGAGTGTGGCCAGGCTGGTAGAGTGAGTGTGGCCAAGCTGGTAGAGTGAGTGTGGCCAGGCTGGTAGAGTGTGGCCAGGTTGGTAGGGTGAGTGAGGCCAGGCTGGTAGAGTGAGTGTGGCCAGGCTGGTAGAGTGAGTGTGGCCAGGTTGGTAGAGTGAGTGTGACCAGGCTGGTAGAGTGAGACAGCCCCCTCACGACTCCTGGAGATACAAGTGGCCCTCCTCTCACACCTCAACTATGACCATCAACCTCCACTTGAGAATGACACAAGAAGAAGCAGAGTATTAGTACTACCAGACCTCCCTTGATCTCTCACCTGGGCGATGGTTCATCTAACATATAAGTATCAACTGACGAAACCGGTTCATCATTCAGCAAGCATAATAGTGTTCTTGGCTTGATGCCTGCTTTTGGTAATTACTTACTGTCAACAATCATGACAGCTTTGTTCAGATATATTAAACAGTTTACGAGCTTGGAAACTTCACAACTAGAGATTATTATAGTTATAAGATCCTCGTAGAGCTTCGGAGCTCAGAAAGTGTATAATAAATGTAAACAAAGCCGCCATGATTGAGGAATGATGCAGAGGTTTCGCAAGCGGCCAGATACATGCTAATGTACCCGGACTGGTCCATACCTGGACGGCCAGGTGTGGTTGACTAAGGGCTGGCAGGTTGTGAGGTACATATGAGCAAGAGTGCCTTAACTGGTAGTGTAGGCTGGTTGACGCCTCGGGAGGGTGTGACATGACTCAAGCAACACCCGCCCCTTCCCTGCACTCCTGCTGGCGGTCACTGACCTGGTGGCCTGCTCTCACTTCCTGGTCGACGGTAGGGTGCTACAGTCAACCCCATACCCTAGTTCAGCCAGGTTGTTAGGGCCTCCGGCATGTAAAACTCGACGCCGGCATCACAAAAGCTTTTATGTGTGTTGTAACTTGCGTCAAAAGATTGTTATTTGCTTAGCTAAACGAACTAGAAGGTTCAGTTCCTGAACCGATTATGTGCCTCTGTAATCCTTTACACCACCGCCCACGGGATGGGTATGGGGTGCATAATAAAGAAAGAAAAGAAGAGAATGAAGGCATCATAATTTTATTCGTCAGATATTTCGCGTAGGCGTTTACTAGGCTTCCTCTTCCACACAATTATAAGTGTTGATTTCCATTCTATTAAGACACTATGCGTTAGTTACAAATGTCTGTGTGTACACTTGCCTCTTTAAGCTTAATTACAGTCCTCAGAGTGTCCATTTTGTATACTGAGATGCGCCTCCTGGTCTCGAATGCAATTATTTAAATTAGAGCTAGAACCAGTTCTTCCAATATATTCAAATTGCCGCGCAGGTCAGTGGTAAAGTGTCGGTTAGTTCTGTTAATTTATTATGCACCCCGTACCCATCCTGTGAGCGGTAGCGGACCCCATATCCATCCTGTGAGCGATAGTGGACCCCATACCCATCCTGGGAGCGGTAGTGGACCCCATACCCATCCTGGGAGCGGTAGTGGACCCCATACCCATCCTGTGGGCGGTAGTGGACCCCATACCCATCCTGTGGGCGGTAGTGGACCCTATACCCATCCTGTGGGCGGTAGTGGACTCCATACCCATCCTGTGGGCGGTAGTGGACCCCATACCCATCCCGTGAGCGGTAGTGGACCCCATACCCATCCTGTGAGCGGTAGTGGACCCCATACCCATCCCGTGAGCAGTAGTGGATCCCATACCAATCCCATGAGCGGTAGTGGACCCCATACCCATCCCGTGAGCAGTAGTGGACCCCATACCCATCCCGTGAGCGGTAGTGGACCCCATACCCATCCCGTGAGCGGTAGTGGACCCCATACCCATCCCGTGAGCGGTAGTGGACCCCATACCCATCCCGTGAGCGGTAGTGGACCCCATACCCATCCCGTGAGCGGTAGTGGATACAGTTGCAGAAGCGCACAATGAACTCTGCAACGGAACACCAAAATGTATTTGGTGAAGCAACTTAAGAGCCTTGATAAGGACGCAATATTCATATTGTGTCAGCAACTGCATGACGCGTGATCATTCACCTCGGGTCTGGCCTCATGACCATACTCTCAACCCGCGGAGGAAATGTGTCAACTTTCATGCCTGATTTTACCTCACACTGCTAGTTGTTTATTGTTTGCCCGAAACGCATTGCGTAATAGTGGCTTTAGGCATTGTATGTACTAGCTCTATCTATATATCAATCCATTAATGTAACATCACTTGTATGTATATACCTTACCTGAATAAACATCTGAATCTGAATCTGAATCTGTTTGTGTCCCTGTCTTTGTTTGGGGCTGTTTAGATCTCTTGATAACCACTCAGGTCTAGAGATTTTGTTTATACTCTTCATTCTAACACGTCACTCGTCGTCACCCTGACATGTCCTCTCGTCGTCACCCTGACACTCCTCTCGTCGTCACCCTGACACGTCACTCGTCGTCACCCTGACACGTCACTCGTCGTCACCCTAACACGTCACTCGTCGTCACCCTAACACGTCACTCTTCGTTACCCTAAAACGTCACTCGTCGTCACCCTAACACGTCACTCTTCGTCACCCTAACACGTCACTCGTCGTCACCCTAACACGTCACTCATCGTCACCCTAACACGTCACTCGTCGTCACCCTAACACGTCACTCGTCGTCACCCTAACACGTTACTCGTCGTCACCCTAACACGTTACTCGTCGTCACCCTAACACGTCACTCATCGTCACCCTAACACGTCACTCATCGTCACCCTAACACGTCACTCGTCGTCACCCTAACACGTCACTCGTCGTCACCACTAACACGTCCCATCGTCCGTATATTGAAATTATTATTGCACATAAATTTGCGTCAAGGGCCGAATGCAGCGTCAGATATAACTGTATAACCATTTACGTAAACAGTTTTGAATTTAAATGTATGAGACGTCTTCACTGGACGATATACGACATACAGGTCACGGAGCCTTGTATAGCGGCTCCGTGGCGGGCATGTTCCTGGTGGTTCCTGTCTGGCTAACATGATCATTAACTCCTGCTACGACCTGATGCTCACACTCTCTACGTCAATGTGTAGTTTATCGGCCCCACTACTCCCCTACAGCTACGTCCTGAAGGCCAGCCTCTTGGCCGCCATCTGCTAAGGAGGTCTTACCTTGACCGTGGCTTCCTGAAGACTGAAGAGCAGGGGCAACGGTGCTCTCTACCAGGAGGGGCTCAAGACATCGCCCCTAGACTCTTGCAAGATGATTCTAGCCTCAACGATCATGTCTTCAACCATCCTAGTGACGGTCTGTGGTAAGGGCGATTCTTGTGGCGAAGTTGATGGACGAGATGGTCTTATACCTAGTGTCTTGAGGTCGGCTATATGTTCATGCAGTGTTATTCCTTGCAGCCTTCTCAGTAGTCATTATACTTGATGATGGTGGCTCTCTGGCTCGATGCTGGAGGCCAAGACATTCCCATCCTTAGGCTATGCTCGTACGGATTGCGACGGACACCAACGCATCTTCACCTTATGCTCCTCTAAGCTGTGACCGACCCAAGCTGTTTGGATCTGATGGGTTGCATAAATAATGGTCAAATGCTCGTTAATCCATCCGCCAAACCCCATGTTTGTGATTACAAAACGGTGACGTTCGAACCGTTTACAACTGGCCGAAACTTACAACTGATGACGTTCGAACATTTCTCAAACAGTACTTCGCTGACAACCTCTGTTCACATCACAGTCCTGTAAATGCTTCTCCCACGTACGACAAATACAAATAATCACCTAAACACCAAATCTAACCTACGCCTAACTATATATAGAATTTAAATATAGAATATTAATTTATATATGAGAACAAACTTATTTATAATACACAAGAAGTAAAAATTGCTTAATGGTCTCGGGGAACGTCAGCTGCTTTAACAAGCCTAGCTTGAGGATAATAACCATCAGAACCAAAACACCAAACCTAACCTAACATATGCCTAACTAAACATGTAACAGTAATATATATAATAATATTAGTTTATACATGAGAATTTTGTTTACTATTCAATTCGTTAAAATTGATGTGATGACCTAAACACATCAGAAGATGAAGAAACGACAACGTTTCGGCCGGTCCTGAAGCATTATGTTAAAATTGATGAATGTATCTTTGTTGGGGGGGGGATTGGGGAAGTAGGCCGTCGCTTTAACGAGCCTAGCCTGAGGACAGGTTGACAAATACAAATAACTGCTAACAGAACGTAAACCTAGCCTAACCTAACTTACGCATGTGTAAACAAAATTCTAATGGATAATAATAATCATTTATATTTAGGAAAATATTTGTTTTGTATACACGGTCCATTAAAACTTATGAGAGCGTGTTGAATTAAGGAAGACCGCCACATGAACAAACACAACCTGAGTGTATTTATTTATGTTTCTAGGTTAGGTTAGGTTAACATTGTCTATCTTAAGTTGAAGCTGATTTGATGATTTACTACCAAATAAAATTTAAAAGTTTTTTCTATGTTTAGTGTAAGTTTGTTAGTACTCACCTAATTGTGCTTGCGGGGGTTCAGCTTTGGCACTTTGGTCCCACATCCACGTCCTACGTCCACGTCCCACATCCATAGTTGACATCCACGAGTGATTTTTTTAATTCACTGATGACATGAGAGTTGGGGGTGAGAATAGACAAAGGTATCGTCTGCATATAGTATATGTTCAAGAATGTTAGAAACATTTGGCAAATCATTGATGTATATAAGAAATAGGAGAGGTCCCTGGATGCTGCCCTCTGGCACCCCTACTGTCACTGGTAAAGTGGTGGAGGTTATGCTATTGACGGCTACATATTGGTGTCTGTTACTGAGATAGGAACGAATATAGTCCAGCTGGGCCTCGGATATCATAGTGGTGAAGTTTAATTAAGATGTAGTTATGGTTTACAGTATCAAAGGCCTTTCTTATGTCAATGAGAAGTCCAATTGGGAACTCCTTTCTGTCAAGGGCTGAGTAGATTATATCAAGCAGGCTAATATTGACACCATTGGTACTCTTTTGGGAACGGAAGCCAAACTGGCAGGGTCTTAGTATGTTAAGTTTTATAGAGTAGGAGTAGAGCTGTTTGTAAATATTTTTTTCAGATATTTTTTAAAATATAGGTAGATTTAATATTGGTCTGTAATTGTTTATGTCAGCTGTCTCGCCTCCTTTATGAACTGGCGTCACTCTTGCTTTTTTAAGGATATCAGGAAAAGTATGACACTAGAGATTTGTTGAATAGCAGAGCTATGGGTAGTGCAAGAGCAGGGGGCAGCACTCTTATATATCATAGATGGTATTTCATTAATGTTCCCAGCTTTGGTTTTACGTGATTGAATTATGGCTATAATGACTGTCGGGCTGACTGATAAAAGGAGTAGAGTTAAGATAGCTGCCTGTGAGATACGTAGTAACGTGTGACTGGGGCTCTAGGATTTTTCTGGCACGGTTTGCACCAATTGATGAAAAGAAGCTATTAAATTCAGTCGCAGTATCTAAGTCTGTTGCAAGTGTGTAACCATCTTTGGAGAGTTTAATCTATAAATTACATACAGAATACAATATAATCTATTATAGCAGAATTATACTCTCACCGTCTTCTACCAGCTGATTACCAATCGAGTTCCAGTTGACTGACAGTCGAGAGGCGGAACTAAAGAACCGAAGCTCAATCCCCGCAAGAACAACTTGGTCCCATCGCAATTCTTTATTATCGTTACATTTAAAAAGAAAATACATTTATAATAATATGTTTCAAATAATTTAAGGCCTACTTGCAATACGATATAAGAGATGTTTAAGAGATACACAGGAGTACATATTTACCGGGCCGAGAAGGCCAACAAATATTGTGGCCATTGTCTCGCCGCTCCGCTCAGCTGTGTGTACTGTAGCCGGCCGACTCTCTCACCTTCTTCAACAACAACAACCCTCTTGATCATGATTGAGAAAGCTCTTGGTTTGTTGCCCATTGGAAGGCGACAAGTGCAGCAGTTACAGGCATGGTAGGTGGCCCCTCATTAATGTTTATTAATGAGCTGGTGGTATTGTGAGGTGGGTTTAATGCGCCGACCATTTCGCCAGCTGAGGGGGGGATTTACAGACGCGTATCTGGGGATAATCCCAGCTGAGGAGGGATTTACAGGCACGCATCTGGGGATAATCCCAGCTGAGGAGGGATTTACAAGCGCGTATCTGGGGAAAATCCCAGCTGAGGAGGGATTTACAGGCGCGCATCTGGGGAAAATCCCAGCTGAGGAGGGATTTACAAGCGCGTATCTGGGGAAAATCCCAGCTGATGAGGGATTTACAGGCGCGTATCTGGGGAAAATCCCAGCTGAGGAGGGATTTACAGGCGCATATCTGGGGAAAATCCCAGCTGAGGAGGGATTTACAGGCGCGTATCTGGGGGAAAATACCATCCATGGCAAGCACTGAAATTGGGCCCCAGTTCAGACATCTGACACTCATCTCTCGGGTAACTTTACCATAAAATCGGCTCGAAAACCAAGTTCATAAATCTGTTAATCGACAAATTATGATCACAATCTGGCTTGACCCATGGAGGCTCTCAAATACGAAAGTGTTAATTGTAATTTGCCGAATGATCTCTCACAGCTGGGAATGAAAACTGTGATGGTTAGCATTATCTGAATAGCATTTCAAAGATTAGGGAAGATGCTCTTATTTTCATACTGAACAATAAATTCAAGAAGCTCTTCAAGTTATATTTTCATGTTGGCCTGACTTGATAGTAATATTGTGCTACAAAATTTCTTCGTATAGCTGCTGTCCATCAACATAAAAGCTGTACAATTTGGCCAATTTTGTGCACTATATTACATTGTTATTGTCAGTGGTGGCGCCATAACACAGTCCCTCGACATTGAGAAGGAACCCAAACTTGGTGTCAAGTGTCATGCAAAGAAGCAAACCTTTTGTCGATATCTCTGAAGATGGTCGAGTCTTCCCTTCGTGTTTCCATTTCCTCCTTGGCTGTTAACAAAGTCTCTCCAGTTCTCATCATCCATTCGTTGCTTTTGTCTCTTGACATCTTTTAACATCAATATTCCATTCTTGAGTCATTCTTCGAGTGACTCACTGACCAACATTTCTTTCAAATCCAGGGCAGCAGCATAGAAGTTCATGCTAAGATCTTGCAAAATTGTTTGAATGCAGCCAATGCAAATGAGTATGAACTTTGTTCCAAAATCCTAACAAACTGTTTTCCGCTCAAAAATCAACTTCCATGTACCTCACTACAGTATTTATGAAATCTCTTCATGGTTTGCATGATCAGAAGTAAAGTTGAATATAAGGCCATAGTACAGTACTTGGCTTTATGAATGCTTCTAAGAAAACACTGGTGATCAGTGGATGTCATGATGTGGAGTAAGGTGTTTTTTCATGACAGGGTCAAAGGTGGCAACTAGTTTCAGGGTCAAAGGTGGCAACTAGTTTCAGGGTCAAAGGTGGCAACTAGTTTCAGGGTCAAAGGTGGCAACTAGTTTCAGGGTCAAAGGTGGCAACTAGTTTCAATAAGCCAAGATTTCCCACATTAGTGTCATTATCCAGGTGAAGTGAATGGCACTTTTAATAAGAACTTTTTAATGTTTATGAACATGAAAATGGGATTTTTACATGTACTATATTCATTCAATAATATCAATCTAAAATATTATTGATCATGGTAATTTTGCTAATAGTAGAAGAAAGCTCATATAAATGGCTGATTGGTATGTTTTGATTTTTTCAGGATCCCCTCTGCAACATTTTTTGGGGCTGGAGCTGCAACCCTTGGCCTTTATTTTACTGACTGGAAAGCAGTTGCCAGATTTATTCCTTTTTATGGTGGCAAGTTCAAAGAAGATGAATAAACTACTGTACTTTAATAATGGAAGCCACAATGATTCTTCTGGTTTATTTCAGGTAAGCCTGTATGAAGTAAAGAATCTGAATCACCTTAGCATTAACAAATATTTTCATGACACTTTTTTAAGGGGGAGGCCGTATGTGTACACACTTCCAGGCATTATTTTCCCCAGATACTTTCTAGTACTAAAAATATCTTGCGCTGGAAATAATTGTCATAGTACAGTCATGTACTGTACATAGTACAATAATTGTCATCATGTTACATGCTGGAAAGCATGATGTATGTTAAGATTGCCCCTAAGCAGGCACAGACCTGTGAGAAAGTAGATGGGGAAAAAACATACAAATAAAATATGAAAAAAGTTTTAGAATGAGCAGTGTGTAATGAGAGGTCTGTGTGAAGGTGGAGGAAATGGAGTAGATGGACTATATACGCACATTGTATGTACCCATGTACATGTGTGTTCGCCATAGCGAACCACTAAGCTAGTATGGTGAACAAAACAAGAGTGGCTACCACACACAGTGACGCTACCTCGATTCCCTCCCTCCCTCGCCAAAATTCCTCTTCCCACAATACTACACACAGCGCTAATTATCACCACACTTCTGCTATTATCACAATCTTGGTCACTAAATCCTGTAAATGAATAATTGACCACAAGTTTATTTGAAAAGGAACATAAGAAGTCGTTTGAAGAATCCTAGATGGACGAAATAATGCTGTGATGCTGAGGCTAACGCTGTGAACATTGTGAACAGCATTGATTCACTGATATTTGAACATTGTGCAGTCATTATCACACTCAGGCTCTTCTGTACAGTAATACTATCATGGCTAATTAATATCAGTTACATATATATTTTGACATTATTAGGCGATGCTGTGGTCACAAGCTGAACAGCCGTGCTGTGAGCTCATGCTGCGTGCCCCAGCCTTGGTTGCTCACTCATTACCGAGGCACACCCGGGAATGTTGCCCACGATTTAAAAAAAAATGGCGTCTGTTTATAAGAGCCCTGAGGAAGCTGATGTGAACCCCCATGTAGCTGCAAGAGTTTCGAATCATACGCTATACCTATAAGATCCCAGAGGCGCGTTACGCACCCCAGTCAAGTGCCTGCGGGCGCTTTGGGCAGTGCAGTGGTTAAAGGTTTGAGTAGGCAGGTTTATCATTGTGGGAGGTCAGTGGTTCTCCTTTGCTCTCTGTTAGGCGTTTTCAATCTTTTTATGGCCCGGTATCTGTTACAAGCTCTAGTTACCAACTTTGCAGTCGGTTAAGTTTACACTGCTGTACTTGGACATTCCTTTTATAAATTAGTTTGGAAATTACTTCAGCTTCCTTGCCTGTAGGAACTGTCTCCAGTAGGAACAAGACAGTGAAGGTATTATTAGATACTGTACTGTATCTTAGTAAACATTAATTAAAAATTAATCTTCACGGGGTCATCTGTGCATGTTGGCCACGAACCAATTCCGTGGAATTTATTGATTTAAAAATGTTAAATAATTCTAATTGTTTTTTCCTTTCCATTACAGAGATACAGCTCTCCTTAATCTTCATGATGCAGTTTAAAGAAGGAAGGAAAATGACTTTTTCAATTTATATATCATATTGTATTATATGTTCATATGTACAAAATCATCAGTAAGTTAATAAAACATTAAACATGACCAACTTATAATTTCTTGACTAATGATTTGTCCTTGTTGCTGGAAATTTCAAAAACAAACAAATTAAGGTATGGGTGAAGTATACTAACTTAAGCTTACTTTTACTCAACTTTTATCATTGATTATACATTTGTCACTCTTCTGACAAGTATAGTTGTCCCCCCCAACAATTTATAGTGCAAACTACAGTACAGTAAATCCTTAACAGATTTAGATTGTTGCACCCCATTCTTAGTGTTGGATGCAGTAGTGTATAAGGATATGCATCTTTAGAACATTTTTAAATGTTGATTAATATAAAAAACCTTTTAGGAAACTGATATTTAGCGCCCTCTGATTATTCCGCACATTTGATGGTGCTACATAGCCTTCCCGGTTTGGTGCCTTCTTTTGATAATTACTTACTTACTTTTAGGAAACTGGTGGTTTAGTTTCATTCGTCAAAGGGAAGGTGATGTAAACTTGCAAATAATTAATAATTTCATTGCCACTCTTACTACGTACATAGACATTCAAGTTATTTATACAGTATACACAAGTGTTTAATTTTGAGGCTTTAGATTATCATGGGTGTACTTTATTTGCAATTGTAGCTTTTTTTAATAGCTCGTATTAATTTTTTTTGTTTACACCAGTAACATATCAAAAACTATATCAATGCTAGTATTAATTTTTTTTTTACAAGAATGATCACAATGATAAAATACAGTAGATATCTTATTTGTACTTTGTACACTTTAAGCTAAATGATTTTTATGCACCTGTTATTGTGCACAATAACAGGTGTTAATTGTGGTTGACTTTCGATGGGCATTGGGATTACTCTTGGCCTTCCTCGTACCATTATAATTGGCGATGGGAAACAGTTCTGGCTAGGTTACACATTGGCCATACATGCATAACTCACAGGCACTTGATGAAACACCACCCTGCTTCTTATTCTTTGAACTGCATTCTCCCTCTCACAGTTGTGCACCCCTTGAAGAATGCCACAATTTTCAGGATGTTTTCCAAATGTCTCACGATAGAATCCTTCAGTGAATTGGATATCTTTGATATCACTTGCTTTATATGCTTTTGTTCTTCTATTGGCATCTTCAAATGATATTTGGTGTCTTATAACACCACCAGTGTCACTGGATATTCAAGGCTCCCCAGCTTGGTGCCTCCTTTTGTTTTGGTAATGGTCAGATGTTTTTGTTCATCTATTATGCACCCTGTAGGGCCTGGCAGCACTTTTCCAATAACAAATCATTAACAGTGTCTTACAGAGATGAAAATTAATTCATCTTTATGCCCAATGACCAACTATCATTATTCACCTTCCATGTGCCTATTCATCTTCATCCATCCAAACATTTTCTCATCATTTCTGGTAGAAATGATGTAGAGATGATACACAGATGCAAACTGTGGCTCCAGTTTGTGTGAAAATGTTTGGATGGATGAAGATGAATAGGCTCCAGTTTGTGATGGGTAAAATGATGCTGGTACTGTGAAATCTTAATTCTGTGTGCATTGAAAAAATCTTTTGTTGCTGTTGGTATTTTATTACTGTAGCAGCCTGCTTGTTAGAAATACATGCATAATTTATTGCAATTAATTAGGTAAATGAACATATTACTTTAAACAAACTCTTGCTTTTCATGCTAGGAGCCATTGCTTAAGTATTTTTTGTAAGATCAAACCAAGTGCATAGGGAAGCCCTATTTGTTACTTTCCGAACTATGATGTAGATGGAAAAGGTCCTATTATTATTATTCCCTGGATTTAGGTGGAAGTAAAGTCCTTGCTTCCGATTCTTAGGGGGCAGTCACTCTTTGGGAACGATCTAGGTGTTCTGGAAATAGGTCTAGCAATACGCTCAAGAAAAGTTTTTCCATCCTCATAGAGGGAGGCAACACAACATAAGGGTTCTCTTATGTACCGTCTTATAAAAACTTTTCACACATCATAGTTGTAGTACTGCAGGTTACTTTGTTCTTGTCATCCCAAGCCCTGCTAAGAGTGCGTGAGTTAACTGTGATCTTTGATTGTGAGAAGTTTCTAATACTTTCTCCTCTTCATCTTCTTGAGCTTCATCTGCCAGTTCAACACTTCCCTCCGTTACTTCATCCTCCTCCTCGTCTTCATTCCCAAGCAGAGTACCTTGCAGGCCTACTGGTTGTGACGATGAGTCAACACGAGACCTAATAGATTCTTCACCTTCAGACTTTTGCCGTATCCGACCTTCAGTGCTCCACACTCGCTTGCTAGGTGCAGTCATACTCCTGCATGTAAAATGATTAAAAACAATTAATGTACACTAGAAAATAGTTCTTTCAATCTGCTTGAGAGCATGACATTTCTATAAAAGACGTTAAATCATACTGTACAATACTTGTAATAAAATTGAATGTAGTTTTAAAGCAAATATCTGAACAAACTAAAATTCAAATTGGGCATTATATGTCCCAAGATGGTAGGTATTGTTCAGGCTAATTTGTATGATTAATAAAATGACAGATTGCTCTGCAAATTTATTGTAAAAACATCGATTTCAGAAATAAACCTTATGTTAAGTACCTGTTTAAGTAGTTGCCACTCTGACTAGTGCCACTCGTAAGGCCAGTGCCAATGGAGTGCGTTGAGGAGCGCCCATCATCAGATCCCAAACTAACATTTGCATTCCAGTGTGGCTCGTGGACATCACTTGGTATTTTCTCTTCCAGGACTACACTAAATGGCTTAAATGGAATAGCACCACTTTCAAGAGAAGCAACTACATAACTGTCAAGAAAACTTAGTGTCAAATCTACATTAACCTTGTGGTTCAAAATATCCTCCTGTCTTTTAATAACTCTTATACTAAGCTGAGGATTGGTAAGCCACTTGCAGATTTCATTTGATTTTTCTTTCAAAGCCAGATCTATATTTCCTGTCACTGTATAAGGCTGCAAAAATGACACAATATCTGCACAAACAGTTTTATCATTAAGTCCTATGTTTTTAAGGCACTGGAAAATAGCTGAATCATCTTCCTTCAAGTTTCTCATTAACTTAAGTTTTTCTAAGAATGAATCTGTAAAATACTTTGATACTTGTTTAGGATCTCTAACGTAGTGTAAATTGAGAATGGAAGCTATGAGGCTGATGTAAGCTTCAGAAAGTGATGTATGACTGAAGATTTTCAGAAGTAATTCCTGCGACGCCTCGGTAGATGCTTTAATATTTTTCTCTTCTCTAAATCCTGAAAAAAAAAAATATGTTAATAAAACATAACACTAATATAACAAAAGACACCTTCCATAATATAATGAAATGTGATGACTGAAAGCTTATGTCACCAGGATGTTAGGGACATTCTAAATGCAACTAGGCAACCTAGAGGTGAAGCTGACACAAACGTAGGCAACATAATATTAACTGCGTTAAAGTTAATCCCCGAAAAAAACACAACAGGAAATGGATAAGACCATCGCCCACTAAAACCAGAGTGACAAAAATGCCACTTCTAAAGTGAAAACAACTGATTGTCTCCTAGCCAGGAGGAGGCTAGCACATTATATTCATTTACATCCTGTAGATGTTTGACAGATTTATCTTAAACTAGCAAATGGTATAACTAACTCCCTAGATCTTATTTTTACAATGATGAACTGATTAGGGACATAATGATTACAAATACATGTTACTCAGATCACAACCTAATGAAGTTCAGACATGCATGGGTAATATTAGACCTGTACACCCAGTTTCAAATCCATGAGGAGATGATCAGCAATTTAAATTTTAACAACAGATTAATTAGGAAAAAATAAACAGACCTTGCAGAATCTTTTATAAGAGAGATGCCATACCAATGATAATACTTTTCAAGACGTGTGCTCTCTATTGTGGAATATTTTTTCACACTAAAAGCCCTATCCAAAGCTGGAGAAATTGCTGACCTGAAGAGCAAGCTAAGATCCTTTACTGCTATAATCCACTCTATAAAACCTCTAAATTATTGGGACTGATTAAGTGTTTAAATCGGTTTTCTCTATAGAGAATAAGCGAGAGAGAGATACATGTTACACCTGGAAAATATTTAGAGACTGGTATCAAATCTGCACAAGAAAATAACATCACATGAGACCAGGAGGATTGGCAGGATGTGCAAAATAGCCCTGTTGAAAAATAAAGGTGCAGTAGGTACATAAGAGAGAACTCTTGGGCCTTTGATGTTGATAGACTTTTCAACACTCGCTGAATAATGGGCATAACTTGCAGGCCTCTCACAGTACGCATTCTCTTGACATACCAGACTTCCTCTGATAAGAGGCTACAAGACTTCCTCTGATAAGAGGCTATAAGACTTCCTGAGGTAAAAGGCTATAACAATTTGGATACCTATTAGAATTGACAATGTCATTCATTAAGTGTATTTTGTAGAAGAAAATCTTAATGAGTAAACTGAAATTATTACCTTGTTCCAGTACGAGCACAAGAGCATCTGTAAGCCTTTTGTCAGGTGTTGGCGAGGATAAAATGATAGGAGAGATGAGCTCCACACACCACAGTGTATCCTGGCAATGTTTAGTGACGATGGCTGCCAATTCACCTACAATTGTATTGTGTGTTGTCACGTCCTGTGTCCGTCCTGAAAACTCCAGTAATGTGGTACACACAGCCTATTGAAAAATATAATAATTAAAATCAGACTTAAGAAAGGAACCTAGTTGAAAACAATAATAATATTAATAATAAAGTAAATGTAGCCTATTAGGGTAGATAACATTTAGGATATATTACTGTTAATAAATGATGATTAACAAAAAGTTATTTTGCTAGGAAATTAGTCTTGATTATCTAGTTACAAAATTGAATGTATATTGTTATACCAACAATGGGTTCGAGACCAACCACAAGTAGTCTCCAAGCTCAGCAACTTATGTATGTGATGAGCTAGTTTCATAACTGATATGTTTATCCTGCACACCACCCCACATCCAGGGGCCACTACACAGAAGCAAAAAACTCAAAAGTTGACTCAGAGGAAGAACCAAATCTCTTCAAAGATGATAACTCTGGTGCGGAGAGGGAAATGGTAGCCGACTACCAGGGAATGTAACCCTGAAGCATTACGCTAAGAAAGGAGGGAGGGAGGGAAGGAAAGAGGTAGGAGGGAGGAGGAGGATATGAGCAATCATCATCCATCCAGCTCTCTCTCTCAATTGATTGGTGTTTTGCACTTTATTTATCAACATGTCATTAGTCACTCTCGCCATGTACTCAGACAATCCAAGTGCTACAACCTTTATTTTTTCCTATAATTTTCTTTTATTTCATTGCACGCAAGTTCTAGTAAGTTTACCGAGATAGAATGCATGTCAAAAGAATAGAGTAGCTTAGGTTATTTCTACTTTCTCACCTGTATCCCTTCATTGTTTTTCTCACTTCATAGACAAATCCAATTTTTTTTTATATTTCTACTTCTAATATCCACACATACATTATATATTTCAGCATGAAGACATTGGCAAAATATCCAGCTAAATTACCTGGTAATTATGTGAATTAGCCATTGTACACAGTAGCTTCAGTGTTTTGGCTTGAAGGTTTGCATTTGAGTGGTACAGACAGTCTAAGACGGCCTCCAGGTGACTAGGTGTTAGTGCTTCCTCTAGTACTGAGAAGACACTAGCAAGAGCCTTTAAACCCACATATTTGAGGTCAACATTTGAACTGCTGAGGAATCTAAAAAGAAATGTTACTATCATAAACATAATCTACAATGTACAATCAGAAATAATATTACATGAGAAAGTCTATTGCTGTCTCGTATGCCAAACCATTATTCTAAGTAATTTTGCAAGTGTCACAGTTGAATAACAATAACATTCCAACCTTTCAGTACATACTCAACTGTTAACATTCTGGCATCTCAAGGTCCCACTATCTAAAATACTCATACTCTTTTTACCTTTCTTCATATAGTTTTTGGGCTATAATTATAAATTTTGTGTCAAAATGTTTACAAATGAATTTGCTAGAGTATATACAGTATACAAAACAAAATGTGTTTTGATAATAAATTACATATGGCTATACAGAATATACAAGTTTTGTAAAAGTTTCAACATTCCTCATTTATATTTCAACAAATAAAAATATATAAATTTGGGAAGGTATCCACATGATTGGTTTACATTGCTGTAAAAAGAAAACAAACATAGCTATACTTTTCTGGGACATAATTTGCATAGTGAATATTTTCATAAGTCAACAATTATTATCTTGAGTGATAGGCAGTTGGCCGAGGTGATAGCTATATGGTTCCCTGATGCTTTGGTTGGTCCGCTGGTAAGATATGCCCTCACTGTGTTTAAAAAAAAAAAAAAAAAAAAAAAAAAAATTGCGGGAATTTTGAAATAAACGATGCATTGTGGTACCATCAGAACGTTTACTGTCAGAGTATGGATGACAAGTTTTAGTGTCACCAGAACGCTAAAAAGTAATAAAGACATCAGACATTTTTGAGTGTGCATAATGTGAAATTACAAATTCATTGTAATTTTAGTTGCATCAAATAAATGCTACTCAGTATGGCAAAATCATCATAACTGTTATATTATATCTGTGTTGCAAATTACACTTGTTACTTTAATTTGAATCATAAAATATTGCTCCTTAATGCCCTCCAAAAATAATGATAAATGAAATGACACACCCTTTTCTGAGCTCACATCAGTAGCTTCCTTATCTTATGCTCTGGCTATCAAGTCTGGTTAATAATTTCATAAACTCTCACTGCCTATCGAAAACAAAGGCCTATGTGCACATCCTTGATTCCGTCTTCAAAGCAGACAGCTTTTAGTAATCAAGAAATCAACTCAAACTGAGGAATATTGTCCAATGTGATCAGAAGGTCACAAAGCACAAACACTCTTCAAAAATATTTTGGAAATGCTCCAAATGAACCAAAATATTTCTTTGTCAACTACTATAATCAAGTGATCAAAGTATTTTCCTGCATCACTACTAAGTGGCAGGCCAGATGACTGTCAGCCCGGCAAAGTGTTCAATGGAGAGTCCTGCAAGCATACTTCCACAGATCATGGAGTCACAGGCAAGAAGCTGTCCGACAACTTCATTACCCGATGTACAATCTGGGACAAATTGCCCATAGAGTAGGGAAACTTGGAACAAATAAAACAAATACAAAGTATGCAAATAAATCTCAACCAGACCGGAATACTGTGGACTCCTGAGATACAGTACTGCTGCATCACGGCCACTATGTAAACTAAACATGAACTTAATAAATCCATCAAGCATAAATGTCCAATCAACTTAAAAACTATGAAAATTCAAAATGTTGGCAAAACAACTTACCCTAAAACAACCTTAAGAATTCTAGATATCAAGGTATCGTTGTGCGGGAGAGCCGTGACTGTGAATACGCACTCCAGCAGTACGGCATAGAGAGAAATCTCTCTGCCTCCCCATGGTTGACTTAGTACCAGTTCTATTGCTTGTGTGACATCACTTGGGACTTGCCAGTCTTTACTTGACAAGCACCGGAGAACTCTGAAAAGTAATACCATAGTGCTATAATTACACCACTCATGAACCAATTTATAATATGCAGAAATTTTTTTCATAATCCTTTAATTTAGTAAGAAAATATTTGTTTGAATCTTAATTTAACAATTTTCTTATTTGAGTTATGGATATAGTATTTATGCAAACTATTTACTTGTTCAGTATTTTTTGCATTTGTGCCTTTATCTTTTACTGTTTTTTGTTCAATAATCCAATTACAGTACTTATAGAGCTTATTTATATTTCATTATTGCCTCACCAATTCCTTGATATCTTTCACCACTGCACTCTCAAAATTAAGTGCACCATTTCATCCTGACATTAAACTATATACAAGTAAAGTACAGTACAAGAAATGCTAAGACCACAATCATCAGGGTCTATGTTTATAAGTAATGCATGAAAGGATTAAACACCATTTTTGGGCATCTCCTACGTTTGCTTAAGCCAGACTCCACCTAGGACACTGCTCACATGTCTGTCTCTAGTGGATTTTAGGGCCTCCGTGAGACAGTTTTCATATCTTTCTAAGTGTTAGGGGAGGGGAACAGTGGAAAGTCCCTCGGTCCACCACCAAAACGCATCACACGCAACACCAAAAAGCAAACAAATTCTGACACCACTTGATATGACTGCCACTTGGTGGCAGTCAAATCACCACTAGAGGGTCAGATAAGCTGGCAGCCATTACTTATAGCCAAGAACATGGATGGATGCATGCTCAGACAAGCCAAGACCAAATGAGTGGAAATAGGAGCAACTCATACTAAAGTCTGGCATAGTGCAGTGTCTTGGCTCAGAAGTAGTCGAGGAAGCCTTACTGTACAAATATTTAAAAACAGAAGGATTCTCACCTAAGCATTTGAATCTGAACGAAAGGAGCAGGTAATGAATTGACTTGATAATCTCTTGGAAGGGCGCCATTCAGTGCTTGTGTTAAGAGGTGTGAGGCACTCTTTGCAACTTGATCACGAAGCTCTGTCTTTTCATAGCCACAAGACTGAGAGAAACAAATTTGTTCTAATTTCTTCAAGATACAGAGTAAGACAGTAAAGTTAAAGACATTTATACAGGCAATAGTAATGAACATTTGCGTAGATGAGAAAAACTAAGTGAAGAAAGGAGAGATCGACTATTAGTACAGGAAACTACACAGACATGATTATTCAATATGGGAATAAAGTTCAAATACTACTAGATAAAATATTTAACAATAATCATTTAACTGAACAAGAATACAATTAATGAATGTACACAATAGATCAAAAGTGTATATTGTGCTGCCATATGCGGAATATCTATGTACAGATATAGCATAGGGCAGCCATATACAGAATAAATGCCCTAAGAGATAAATCAATAATTTCAAAAGTTAGTTCTTAACTCTATATTCTGTCCAGTTTTAACAGCCGAGCTCCTTTTACTCGCTATTCTTTATGATGTTTCATCTGTTTCATTACAGGTAAAGACCAGGTGACCTGTTATTGATTATGGCTGGTATAAGTGCCTGTTTGTTTCAGTACAACAATTAGGGTTTGGCTTATTTATGCTTGGTGCAGCTTTGTGGAGCCTGATGCAGCTTGATGCAGCCTGGTGGAGCTTTGTGGAGCCTGATGCAGCTTGGTGGAGCTTTATGGAGCCTGATGCAGCTTGGTGCAGCCTGGTGGAGCTTTGTGGAGCTTGATGCAGCCTGATGCAGCTTGGTGCAGCCTGGTGGAGCTTTGTGGAGCTTGATGCAGCCTGATGCAGCTTGGTGCAGCTTGGTGCAGCCTGGTGGAGCTTTGTGGAGCTTGATGCAGCCTGATGCAGCTTGGTGCAGCTTGGTGCAGCCTGGTGGAGCTTTGTGGAGCCTGATGCAGCTTGGTGGTTTTCTACTCGGGGCCTTTTAGCCCCAACAGTTCTCTAGTCTACTTTGATTTTGATTCTTCATGAAAACTATACTTTTTTTTATAATCAACAATCAGTTAAAAGCATTTGAGTCTCAACATTATCCCATTGGTTTCAAGAGCATGGTTTCCACATTTAGGAGTGGATGGTTTAATGCATGTGGGCTTAGATTTGCTCAAACCACTACCTGCTTTCCGTCATCAGGATTTCATGTGTCTTCTTGATCAGCAAACTAGTTTTTTGCCTGTGTGGTGCATCACCTGGGCTCCTCCTGCATGCACTTCTCTTGTGAGCTCCTCTGGCAGGGATGGGCTGAAAAGGTTTTTGATGCATGAGGTCATTCTACCTGAGTGTCTGTCCTGAGTGTGCAAAATCCTTATCAGGAGTCAGTAGGATCTTTCCTTATGAAGCAACTAGCCTAATGCTCTGAAAAGTGCTATATACTGCAGATGATGAGTCACAATAATGTGGCTGAAGAACGTTGACCAAATCACACAGTAGAAATTAAATAGACGATGATGTTTTGGTCCGTCCTGGACCATTATCAGGTTGACTGTAGACGATTGTGCTATGTACTGTACATATGTATATACAGTATATATATCTACTCTATATCTATATACAGAACCTATATATTTTACATGCATGCAATTTGAGTTCAATTTATAAAAAAATATATAAACAAGCTAACACCTACACATTTATGCTGAGATTATAATATTACATTCAGGCAGGCTTCCTGCTAAATGTACTGAGAAATTATATAACATTCTAATAAATATGCATCATCTGATTAACCTTATAAATCTTGCAAAGGGAGCTGATAGCAGCTAAAGCCACCCCTGGATCTTGATCAGTCAAAAGATGAAGTAAGTGAGGGACCTGATCACTTGCAGTCTCCTGAAGATCTTTTCCACATCTTTCTGCCACCACACCAACCATTACTGCAGCCCTTCGTCTGAGATAAACCTAAACAAATAAAGACATTTAGAGAAAATTTGACCAAAAAGCACAGCTTAAAAAGTAATATAAATAAGCTGTCAGCAGCAAAAGTTAATTTGACCAAAGTCAATCGGTATTTACGGTAAATGATAGGTTATGGCAAAGAATTATGGGTGACATGATAGAGGTGTACAAGTGGATGAATGGACATAACAAAGGGGATATAAACAGAGTATTAAAAGTATCAACACAAGACAGAATATGAAACAATGGGTATAAATTGGATAAATTTAGATTTAGGAAAGACCTGGGTAAATACTGGTTTGGTAACAGGTTTGTGGATTTGTGCATCCAATTACCCCGTAACATAATAGAAGTAGGATCCCTTGATTGTTTCAAGCATAGGTTAGGCATATATATATATATGAATGAGATTGGGCGGTTATAAATTAGGAGCTGCCTCATATGGGTCAATAGGCCTTCTGCAGTTACTTTCATTCTTATGTTCTTAACAGCCCCCATACCCATAATCAGGGCATGGGGGCCAACCCTGATATCCCTATGAAAGTTCCCCCTATGAAAGTTCCCCCTATGCCCACTATTCACCCTGCAAACTTTAATAATGCTACTTGCAAGCATCTGTCTTCCAACTTTAGCCAGACATACTTTTTAATGGATACACATGATTAATTCACTACAAAATACATTAAATTTTGCAATAATTTAGGAGTGCACAACTACTGCACATGCAGTACAATAAATATTAATACACAGAAGAACTAGAACTGAATTAAGAAGGATAAAGTGATAGGTTCAGGTATACTATATTCTCACAAAGCAACAATTACATGTTGCATTTTGGGAAGATTACCTGTTGGTGAGCAAGGCAGTGTGTGAGAGCTGTGATGATGGCAGGAGTAAGATCAGGAGTGACAACAGTGGGAAGCGAAGCCAGTGATGCAGCAACCTGAAGAGCATTGGCAGCAGCTAGGTCTCGGTGGATGGTGTTGACGAGTAGTAAGGTGAGCTCGGACCCGGGATCAACAGTCTGGCTCACAAACAGATATCCTGTAGGATCAATACAATGATAATCATCATGTAAATATTATTTTCAATAGATAATTTTGTTTCAACATTTAAAACATATTTGAAAAAATAAAAGAGGTTTCTTGGGTCTTAAGGAAAATTATGATTTAAAAACTTTAGCCAAAGCTGTGAAAGAAAAGCTGATGGAGCGTGGTCTTCTGATTTTGACCTATGGTAGTGAAACAGATAAATCAGCAGATTTAAAGATGGATATTGGCAAGAGTTGTCATGTATGGGCCAGTAGGATCTCTGCAGTTTCCTCAATTCTTATGCTCTTATTTGATTACCCACTTCCAAGAGGGAGAAAGTTGTCAAAATATATACTATGCAGTATACTGTATAAACGTGATATATTTTTCCAATATCATCCTGTTATTTCTTTCATAACAATTCCACACTGAAATTTTTTGTGGCAATGATTGCTTAAAAAAAACTGTTATACTGTATAACTTATCATTCATAATGATGTAGAGGCTGACCAAAATGAAACTAAGCACATTTCACAGATTAGAAAAGCATATTATATAAATTATTTTACATGGTACACTAACCAATCTTCTTGTGCAGGACATTAGGGCTCTGAGTTAATTTGATGGCGTGTATATGAAGGCTTGGGAGAGAGTAGCCCCGCACATGAACAAGGAGTGCACGACAAAGCAGATCAGCTACTACTGAGCTACCAACACCTGGACTCGACAACAGCTTCACCCACTCTCTGCTCTCGTATCCCACACAGTGCTCTTCTTCCTGCAAATATATTTACATTTTTAATAAATCAACATGATACAAAAATAAAGATAAGCTTATATTTAATAACTAGAATTTATACAGTTTCTATTTAATATTACAAAACAGGCTCCATCAATCTTCATATCATGACTTCAGGAATAACATGAGTGTAGTCTGATTAAATTCTTACAAAAATTCTTAAATTCTTTCTCTCGAGTCTCTGAAAAAAGAAGAGTAACATGCAAATTGTGGAATATAGTAATTCTAATCATGGGAACAGTTTGGAAAGGTGCACAATCTATGAAAGCTCTAAAAAGTGATACAAAAATTGAATACTGTATGCTATATACACACATAATGTATATATACAGTATAAGATGCTAAATATAGCAATGCACGATATACTGGAGAAGCGTAACATTAAAAATCTGAGTCTCCATTATGCTTTGTACAGTTGAATAGGCATCAAGAGACTACTTAATAATTTTGTGAGTCATTTGTTGAAATAAGAATAGTGGGATCATATGCAGTGCTATACAAAAAGCATTAATGCTCTATTGTATAAGAACTTTATAAAAAATAGGTAAATTAAAAAATCAAACAAGTATTTGACATAAGCAGAGAAAGCTTGAGGAAGAGAACTGGAGGAATAGAACAAGGACAGAGTGAGAGCTACTGTAGCAGAAGCAAAAGAAGTTTCAGTATAGAAAGCGGTGAGATGGGGTGCCGGAGGTGATCAGCTCTCCACTGACTATCCTCCTGAATGTGGGAAAGGCAGGCAACATACAAACCTCTTGGAAACGGGAAGAAATACATAGAGCAAAGCATTTATATTAATTATTCAAGAATCACAGCACCTGTTTGGATATTCTACGGGCAGCCTCAAGCTTTTCGACGAAGTGTACAAGGCCAAGTGAGACATTCTTCAGACCTGACACTCCAGACACACTTTGGGCGAGTGTGTTGCTGCCACCACTTGTTCCCAAGAAGCTGTGCACAAGACCACTAAATGTCTTCTCCAGTACATTTGACATTTCTACTAGGTGTTGCTCTATCTCCTGTTTTCACTTTTCTGAAAAAATAAAAATAGAAAAAGAGAATCTTGAGTATTATGAAACACTCCTTTCTGAACAAGATATCAACTTCCACTTCAGGTGTGTTTCAGTGGATCTTACAAAAGTCACAAATCCCTTGTAAGTTTTTCATCATGTTTCCCAAAATGGTAGTATAGTACAAGTTAAGTACTACATTATAGTACTGAATCTATATTTTCTGAATGGGTTATGAGAACATTCCTATTACAAGAATTAAATACGGCATAATTGGTTTGTTTTATAGGGGAACTGGGAATTAGAAGATATACCTGAAATAACTCTTGGGCCATCATTTCTAATGGTCTCAATGGAGATACACAAAATTACTGACCAAACCTTTGTTCTGACCAAACATGGTTTCCATTGTTGGGGACAGAAAGTCTGTTAGGTTTATTGAGGTTCCCCCAGGCCAGAGGGAACCAATGGCACACGCCAAAAGTAATGCCAAAAGTAATATGCGCAACTATTTTGTTGTTATGCATACACAGTTATTGGTCACCTGAACAAAGGTCTTTAAGACTCCTTTCAAGCATATTTTTCTTCACCGACACTCATGAGAACGTTTTAGAGAATTATCACATGCTCTCGAAAAGGTTCCCCACCCCTTCCCTAAGCCAAAGCTTAACCTTTCCCAGGATGCAACCCACAACACTTGACTAACTCGGGTACCTATTTACTGCTAGGTCTTATTTTTTCTTCTTTGCGACATACGCAGGGCACAAGAGACTTCTAGTGGTGGGGATATCAGAAGGTCCAGGAACATCAAAGGGATGGGGGTTCTGGAGTCACAATGGTCGATAACCAAATCTGGGATATCTACCAAAGCATTAAGGTGAGGTGAAGTCACTGAACCTGTATTCTTGGGAAATCCGGGCCTCAGCAGAAAGCTTAAATGAGGAGAGGAGTAGCTTAAGTTGGCGAGAGGAATGCTCGTGATGAGAAGAACAGTACAGTACTGGCTTAGTTCAAGCAAACTGGGCTCCAGGTTCACCAAACTCAAGCACTGGAAGTGGGTTTGGTGATCATCCTGATGTGTACCAGGAATGCAACTTTGAACTCTGAAGGGATATCAGCAAGCACAGTAAATAAGTTGATAAAGGTGTAGCAAGCCCCTGAGGTAACCAGACATGATGTCTTACATCAGTCACTATGACCATTGAGGCTCCAAAGTCTTGGCCATAACACTGGAGTCAAAGGTGTTATTTTGCACAGGTAGGGAGAGTGGAGTTCCTCAGAATTCCTGGTACACTGCACCCCCATTTCCTCACCTGGGTTGTAACAAGCAGTTTTCCAGTTTAATGATAATATTTTCAATATTATGAGTCCCATACCAGAAGAAACCACAAAGATAGGGGGAATTTAAGCAACACCAACCACCTTTTTCACATGCACCATGGGGTATCCACACAAGTTAGTGAACAAACCTTGTGTTTACACATCAGGATACTCTTAGTAAAATGGAAGCAAATGTAGCACTAAATGTTTGGAGCCCATACTCCTACATGCCAAAGGCAGTGTGATGGTGCTAGACTGGATCAGTCCCATCTCGGTGTTTAAAGTGGGAGGGCAAGACACCACTATGGAGTACAAGTAGACACAAAACTGACAATATTTTATCATCTGAAACCTCCAGATCAATAGTACCAATTTGCTCATATACTGCAGCCAATTACTCAAGTCATAGGGCCTTCCAGCAGCTGAATGACCAGTCAGTCACTCAGGCACTGAATGTCTCATAATTTTTCTAGTACTTTTGACAAGTTATATTTATATGAAGATGGAAAGCCCCAAAACTTTTAGATGTTCCTTCGATACATTGCCTGGGGTATTGATAGCTTCTACGAGTGCTGTATGTGCAGGTTGGCAAATACATACACACCAGTAGTTAGGAGGATGATCACAACAATTGCCCCATCCAATACTATTCGACAGCACTGGGCTGCATGGCGGCAGCACATCTGTATAAAAATATTTGTACAGATGCTTAAAATGGAACGAGTAACTTATATGCTTGCTTATTTGACTTGGGCTTGTATCTTCTATGTACATAAAATTAGGCATACACAAATATATACTGTATTCAAACACATTCACATAATTTAAAACTAAATTTTTTATTCAAAAGAATATGTACAAAGAACATAAGAGTAATATCAAATTGTAGGGACAGGTGTTACACACACTAATGATGCCACTATTACGCAAAGCATTTCGGGTTTAATATAAATGAAATAAATTCCATAACGTGGCCATGTAGTCGTGTATGGGTCAAACGTTAAAATTGTAATTAAGAAAAAACTGTCATATCACATTATACACCAGGTCGAGCAGGACCATATTTAGTGCAGTATTAAGCATGTCTCAAACTACTTAAAGTAAACAAGTCAGGAATGTAAGAATTCTTGTATATATAAATAAAAAATGAATTAAATAAAACAACATGCAAGTACAATGACAGCACAGGGCTGTATGACGTCAGTCTTGTGAGCTGGGGAAAACTTAGCTTGGAGGATAGACATTGCAAGTCAACAACAACAAAAATTATTAGCTCTGCCCGACTTTTTTTTCTGACGGCAAATAAATGCACTGCACGAGAGGTGCTTGGGGACACACAGGCATTGAAGACACACAATGAACCACACTGATGAACAAATAGTGGTAGACGGTTGGAACAAATTAAGTGAGAAGATGGTGGAGGCCAAAACCGTCAGTAACTTCAAAGCATTATATGACAAAGAGTGCTGGGAAGACGGGACACCACGAGCGTAGCTCTCATCCTTTAACTACACTTAGGTAATTACACTAACGAGAGCCAGAACCCATCCCCCATACACAGCCATTTGGAAAATTGTAATACTGCATGTACAATATTATTACATTACACACTGTAATATGACAATTAACTTGAACTACATAGTGTACCAGTTACTTCACATAGCAAATAGTAATCCTACTGTGCATGTTTAAGTTGGATTAAACGGTCGACAAATGAGAGTTAAGGACAGGGATGAACTCCTCACTCTTGGACCACAAGGTAAACAATCCTCGCAGATGTTTGTACAGCTGACTTGTGTTAGCAGACGCTGCTCTCTACCGCTAAATGTAGCGACAAGACCAGCGCTAAATAAATAAATAAATATATATGTGCGTAAATCACGAAAATAAACACGTGATTAAAAATGTGACAGTGTCAGAACCCCGGAGGAAAATTGAAACAGGAATTTCCTAAAGTAGTTTCGTATATTAATACATCTTCAGAAGGAGTGCCTTCTGAAGATGATAATATACGAAAGTACTTAAGGAAATTCCTGTTTCAATTTTCCTCCGTGGTCTGACACTGTCAAATAAATAAATATATATATATATATATATATATATATATATATATATATATATATATATATATATATATATATATATATATATATATATATATATATATATATATAGTGGCTTAGCTCATTTTTTGTATTTAAAGCTGAATTATGAGAGCTCATTTACGTTCAAATAAGGTTCTTAAAATAATATAAAAAATAAAATCTTAAAAGGATCAAGTCTCTAGGCTATGCCTACACTCCCAATTTAAAGACTACGCAGGCGACTGTGTACGCAGGCAAGCGAGAGACACAGGTTGGAGACGCGTACGTACCATGTTCGTGTTGGATTTGATATAGATGTTTCGCAAGGTCGTATAATTAATTACATTTACACTAAAATGCTTAGAAAACCCGTCTTAATGGCATTCAGCTATTTAAATAGATATATACACACATTAGAATGAGATATAGGGTACAAGGGAATTGGTGCACGTATAAGTGTATATTTTTTGTTATTAAAGCAGTTGAAGGCGAACACTGTAGGGCTGCTAGAGGCATAATATCGACATCAGTAGCAAGCTTTTCATGCCATAATAACTTAATATTTTACATAGAAAATTTGGAAATATTATCTCATGCTAGAAATTATCCAAATAAACGGTACCATATGAGAGCCTAAGTTTTAATTTTCTAGATTTATTTATTTTGTGTATACTACCTTCGAAATTACCCACATGACAGCTGGGCTTACTGAGGCGGCCAATGGCAATACAGTTTGGAATAAGGCAGGCTTTCATTGGTTCATTGTGAGGGAGGTTGAGCTAGCGTGCGAGGCGGCGGGGGCGCCCAAAGCTGCACCGTCTGCACAGAGAGAGACAGACAAGGAGGACCAGCTGAAAGACTGCCATTATCGCCGCCGCTACTCACCAGAACCTCTTTAAACAACCCCGCCGCGTCCCAATGGCTACGAACAATGAGGCGTGAGTACCTGGTGGCCGGGGTGTGGGGCTGGCGGCCCTGGTGAAGACTGGGGCTGCAGTGTTACACAGGAGGAGGAAGTTGGCGCAGGAACAGATTCGTAAACAAATTTTCTCATTTGGTACTTGCTTAGCTAAATGAATTGTGGGCTTCAGTCCCTGAGCCCATTATGTGCCTCTGTAACCCTTTCCACTACCGCCCACAAAATTGGTATGGAGTGCATAATAAATGAACTAAAACTCATCTGGTAACAAATGCATCAAGCATCATCGCTGGAGATGAATAGAGCCTAAATTTCTTTGTGCAACGTGATGGCCTGGCCCACAGGCACTGTTTTTTTTTATTTTTGTAGGAAAATAGGATAGGAATATCCCGTGTATTGACTTCAGGTATCAGTCAGTAAAGTGGCTGTCAGGCTCTGGGAGCATCCTTACACCTATATTTGGCTGTATATGATCTATTGTATTAGAATATTAGAAGCAGTTGTACACCAGTACAACAGATTATAAAACAACAGATCAAGCTAAAAAGAAAAGCCCAAACAGCTTACAAAGCAAAGATTGCCAGAGATGTAAACTTCAGTTCTAAAGCAGCTTAAAGCTAAAGGATTCTTCAAATGATATAAAGCAAAAGGTCCTGGGGGTGGGGTGGGGGGGGGGTAGATTCTCACAGTAGGACATAGATGTTTGGACACTTTTTTCCTTTCATTTGATGCCATTGTTCACCTTGCAGTGAATAGGTACCCTGAAGTTAGGCAACTGTTTTGGGTTGCATCTTTGGCAAGGTCAGCGGGGTGCCTAGAGGGACCTTGATAAGTCTGTTAGGCTTCCTGTCCCCCAACAATTACAAAACTGTAAATGAAGAAACTTAATCATATCAATCTTGACAAAGGAATATCTTGGTTATCTTGAGATGATTTCGGGGCTTTAGTGTCCCCGCGGCCCGGTCCTCGACCAGGCCTCCACCCCCAGGAAGCAGCCCATGACAGCTGACTAACACCCAGGTACCTATTTTACTGCTAGGTAACAGGGGCATAAGGTGAAAGAAACTCTGCCCATTGTTTCTCGCCGGCGCCCGGGATCGAACCCGGGACCACAGGATCACAAGTCCAGTGTGCTGTCCGCTTGGCCGACCGGCTCCCATAAGGAAGACTGAAAATTTACCAAGTGTAGTGACAATATACCAAGATACTGATGAAAATACTGTGAAACATTCAGGTTACCAAAAATTATGTAACTAAACAGATTGAGAGGTTTAAATCAAATAAATCTGGTCTTGTTGACCAGAAAGTCCAAAAAGACTGCCAGCACTGTACTAATATGAATATACAGTACAGTAATTATATTTTACACAGCAAAATATTGTATATATAAAGTACTACTGTAATAAATAAATGACCAGAAACATCAAGTGTGTTTAAGGTGGTATCTAGTGAGCACAGATATTTTTTATTTTTTTTTTACCTAAATTGCAAGTTTTTAGGCCTACTACCATGACAGTGTGAATTTTATGGAAATATTTGCAGGAACCGTCAGATTTCTCGAAGGATGATTATATATTTGTTTATTAAAACATTTAAAATAGTGGCAACCAGAAATAGGCTTTTATAAAAAAAGTAAGATTATACTTTTGGGAATGCATTACCTTTTGAACTCATTATTACACTACAAATTTGTCTTTTTCCTGTGATAATAGTAGATAATATAACATTAGAAATGAAGTTAGTAATATAAAATAGCAAGGAAGTGCTTGTGAAGCTAGTGAAGAGAATGGTGTTTTGCCTCTGGTAAGATATGTTCTAGGAAGGCAGCGGAGAGTGCCAAATATAAATAATTGGACGATTCTATGCAATGAACATCGCAGGTTCGGTCTCCAATGGAACAAGCAATTCTGCACCGTTCCCTAACTCCACCCTTATGTCCTGGCATTTAATCTCTCCAAGTGTTATATACTCATACTACCTAAGTGATTTCTCTCCTAAAAATTACTTTTCCTCTTTAATGTGTAACTAGTCATTGATCATCTTTTTGGGTATATGCCCACACACAGTTCCCAAGATTATGAAAAGTATTTCTTTGTTGTGAATAATCCTTATATTTCTTCCAATTGTCTTTATTTCTAATATCAAAAATAGTCTAGCTAGGTTCTTTGTGATAACAGGTTATATTTATCACTGTCCATCGTTCAGTATTAATAAATACAGTCTTGCTTGCAAACATTTGAAAGGCTAACCATATTTCTAACTGTAAATGTTTGTTTGAAACAAACTTTTGTCATCAAGAGACCTAAGTATTTTGTTTTACCTTTCAGAATTTTGGAAGAAATTGAAGCACTGCAGGCAATCATGTTGGATGAAGTAAGAGTATTGTATGGAGATGGGTAAGTGGAAGATACATATGTAATTTAAGGCATTTATGGTAATTGTTTTCTTGTTGCCATACAAAATGTCAAATTTGCCTTTTTCAATTACAGTACATTTCAGTCAAATCTATTTTGTATACCAGTATTTTATTTAGTGGGTGGTCCCATGCATAGCTTAGCCATATATATATACAGAATTGTACATATACACTGTACCTGTAGTTGCTTTTAACATAAGACTAAGGACATGCACGTTGGGGAGCATAAACACAATCGTGAAGGGTAATGAAATAACAAAGTACAGTACTAAGCATGGCCCCCTGTGGAACAATCAAGTCGAAAGGAAAACTAGCCTCACTTTTCTCAAAAAACAATGGTGGTCTTGCAGTGGAGTACTTGAGTGTTTGGTATCAGGCACATAAGTAAGGCAAGCAAACAGGTTGAACCCTTTGGTGACCTGAGCTGTCATTTGCAGGCGATGAGTCACAATAACGTGGCTAAAGTAAGTTGACCAGACCACACACTAGAAGGTGAAGGGACGACGATGTTTCGGTCTGTCCTGGACCATACTCAAGTCAAAACGTCGTCGTCCCTTCACCTTCTAGTGTGTGGTCTGATCAACTGAGCTGTCATTTGTTGGTGCTCGTGGATACTAACACATAGTTTGTTGACATTAGGAATACATCTGCTTATCTTATTTCCATCTTTTCTCTTGTCATCAAGATATACAGTTTGTTTTGCTTTGCCTGTGGATTACCTTCTGGATGGGTTTACTATATTTTAAGGTTTATCTCTGATCTCTGTGCTTCCCCTTGCTTCTTTGAGCACAGTGAGGCTCTGCTCATATTTTGGTTTTATTGGTTTTATTTTGGTTTTGGTTGTTCAGTAGCCTGCCTGAACAGGTCCAGAGACTATATAGTTTTGTGGATGTGTATGGTATCAGAGCCAATGCAATGGGGAGTTTGAAACTAGCCAGAAAAGGGTATTTCATTACATTAAATTTACATTTTCCTCTTTTTTTTTCCCCTATTTTGCCTTCAAGTATATATTATTGCATTTAAAATTACTTATTTATATATCATCATCATAATCTTGTGTGCTGTACAACAAAGAAATCGCACTAATGTGATGTATCAATGATTTTCTCAGATGCATCACATTAATGTGATTTCTTTGTGCATTTGAGAAGTGTTGGGGGTAGAACTCCTATATGACAGCCAGAGTGCCATGCAGGCAATGATTGAAACCCTGACTTGGATTCATTGAAAGCCTCAGGACCCCTGCCTAGAGGATTCATTTGAATCCCAGGTTTCATTGCTTTTGAACATGTTGTGGTCTAAGGTGTGTGCTTGGGAGTACCCAGTGTGCACGTTCAAATTCTTATGAAGATGTTTATTATTATTATTGATTATTACTATTTATTATTATTATTGTTATTTTGTTTATATGTGCAATGATACATTCTTATAATTTTAGGTCATTTGTTTACATATCTTTTATTAATAGCAAAACTTGTGAAACTGTAGGTCGACTTGAAACCTAGGTAGAACAGAGTAGGTTCACTTCCAGTTAGTCCATTAAGTGATGTGGCAGTGTTATTGTTCTGTGTTACTCATCTAGATGGGTAGGCTTAGTTGTGCTTAAAAAAAAAGAGAAATTAGAATTTTGGAATAAGAAGAGTTTACTCTAGGAGTACCATATATATAAATTTGTAGATATTTTTTTTAAGATATCACAAAGTTATTATTAGAAGCAGTGCAGTATTTTGATAGTTGTCTAACTTTAGAGGTGTGCCAAATGGTGTGGAGGTTGTGGTAGTACCGGCTACGGCCCAGAACATTGAAGAGCAGCATGTGAGAGTGACCTTGGTGTTGTCGCTGCCCCCAGAGTATCCCGACACCACACCCTTCATTATACTCAGGTAAGAATAATTCTGGTAGAGTATTTCTTATCACTAATTATATATGTGATATTTATTAATATTGTTAATGAGAAGGTATTGTGGACATTACTGGATTATTTTACATTAATATATTATGAGAGTTATCCATTACATTAACCATGTTGGCCACACTATAGAACAGGATAAACTGATAAAAACTGGAACCTGTCTAAAAAGATATTTTATTCACTACATGACATGTCTATCAAACCCCTTCATGCCTATTGCAATATTGAAAATATGAAATCTCTTCATTATGTCAGTAACAATAGTGTTTGTGTTGACTTAGGAGGCTTAAATGTACTGTCAAAATATGATAAGCATGTTTCCTGTAGATCAGAAAAAATATGCAGTTATACAAGTTAAGAATTGTGTACCAGGCAGCCAGCTACTCTTTGACATTAACTTAACTGCTATTAGGTTTGTAGATATTTCCTTAGCTTAAATTTACCTAAACTATTTAATTGAAATAAAGATAAATAGAAGAAAAAAGAACTTACTAATGATAAAATAATGAATAATATTGGTATATTCACACCATGTGTGTATGGTGCTTTGTGTAGGGAAGGAGAGGGGAGAGTATTGTCATTCATTCACTCATCACTCAGGAGCTGGTCGGCCGAGCGAACAGCACGCTGGACTTGTGATCCTGTGGTCCTGGGTTCGATCCCGGGCACCAGCGAGAAACAATGGGCAAAGTTTCTTTCACCCTATGCCCCTGTTACCTAGCAGTAAAATAGGTACCTGGGTGTTAGTCAGCTGTCATGGGCTGCTTCCTGGGGGTTGAGGCCTGGTCGAGGACCGGGCTGCGGGGACACTAAAAAGCCCCGAATTCATCTCAAGATAACCTCAAGATTATCTTTAACCCATAGTCCCTACTTTTATCATGTGGCACAACATCAATCCATAGGAAGAAGCTAAATGATTATAATGAAAAAGTTATCAATATTACAAAAGTAGAAGTCCATTGGTTACTTTATTCACATTACATAGCAATGCAGATTAATAAGTGCCACCACACCAGCATTGTCTTTGTCTGCCGCTGTTATTTACATTTGTTTTTAAATCGCAACAGATGTAAGCAATAGCAATGCCTTTCCCACTCCCTTCCATTAAGTAACATAACACTCATTCATAGCATAATTATACTGATATTATTTCATTTTTTACATTGATACCCTGTTCTGTTTTCTGTCCATTGGTAGCTGAATAGCTAGAGCTGTCATAAGTGCCAGTAACTGTATCTTTGTGTGGGTATATTTGTCTGTCAACCAATCCAGCAGATCGAACGACATACTGTTCTCATTTTATTAATGTATTAAATGCTAAATACTTTTACAAATTTCATTTTGAATAGAGATGCCAGCTACTGTACTGCAACCTGAATACAGTACTTTTATTTGTTTTCCAAAGTAGTACAGTACTGTTCTACTGTACTGTATAATAAATTATAGTAACCAGCTAATTTATCTAGTAGGGGGCCCAAAATCCATACAAAGTTGAATTTATGGGATTCATCAGGCTCAATCACATAGACAGTAATATATTAGTATTGTATTTACTTTATTTGAAGTTATGTTAGCACAGGTATAGTGCACTATATATTGTACAATTTCAGGAATCCACGTGGTGTGGATGATTATGTTTTGGAGAAGATCAAGCAAGAAAGTCAGCAGAAGTGTGAAGAGTATTTAGGTTGTCCCGTAATTTATGAACTGATTGAGGTAAGTTGAATGTAAATTAAGGTGCTAAATTGATTAATTTAGTGAATTAAATGATCTTCATTGGGTGGTATGACGTGAAGATTTCTGTCATTTGTATTTAGAAGTGCCAGTTGGGGGTTAGATCTGTTTCTTCCCCTGGTGTTAATAATCCCCTGTTGTTCTTCCCCTGGTGTTCATAATCCCTTGTTGTTCTTCCACCTGGTGTTAATAATCCCCTGTTGTTCTTCCCCTGGTGTTAATAACCCCCTGTTGTTCTTCCCCTGGTGTTAATAATCCCCTGTTGTTTTTCCCCTGGTGTTAATAACCCCCTGTTGTTCTTCCCCTGGTGTTAATAATCTCCTGTTGTTCTTTCCCTGGTGTCCCCTCTTAGTTTGGCAGTTCAGAATTTCTTGAGAACATTTTGATCATGTTGGTAAGATAATGGTCAAGTTGTTTGTGTGTTGAGTATGAAAGGTCTAAATGAACAGGAATATTTTAACTTATTTATTGGATTTGCAGAATAAGTTTTAACGGAATTGCCTATGGAAGTGCATAATTTTGGGAAGTATGTTTTGTACTATGCACTGTATAAGCTGTCCAGTATTATACTTAACATAGAGAAATTAATACTTGTATACTGTACTGCTGTTGGTGTTTTTAATGAATTTAATCACTTGATTTGGTGGGATATAACCTAACTATAGGTAAATGAACCATTAATTGCCAGTTTATTTTACATAATAATATATATATTAATTATGTATCCCCCAAGGTTGTTCGTGAGAATTTGACTGCTAACAACACGCCCAGCTGCCCATGTGCCATCTGCCTCCATCATTTCACCGATACTGATATTTTCACAAAGACTCCGTGCTTCCACTATTTCCATTCATATTGTCTGGGCAGGTATGTGATTTTTGTGTTCACTCTTGATGATGTGAAGAATTGTGTAGTGGTCAACAGAGCAGCAAAAGTGTCAGAGTGGACTGAAGAGGTGTAGGGGATAACATTTTCAGGATTTTCCACAAATATAGGTAAAATTTGTTGGCGTGATGCATGGACATGGCGTGGCATCTGAAATATGTGTGTTGTTGAAGCAGATTTGTCTCATAAGGAGTCTTCACAGACATAATGAGCATAGAAAACTTACCAACCTCAGCATTACATAGTGGAGGCTAAAATATTGTGTATAGTATTGTCACATTGAAAGCAATTGTGGGTTACCTAGATATCAGTTATATATTGACTCAACTTGGAGAACTGAGAAGTAAAAACAGTGCATTGATAACTACAATGGTGGTTCACTTAAAATATAATTAGTAATTCAGGAGGAGTGTGCATCTTGGCTCAAATGATTTAGTGTAAGAAAGAAGCTTAAGAAGGAAAGCTAGATAGTTGGAAAACATATATATGCAACTTATAAATCAAATGCATAAATATAAAGCAAGAAGTATTGAATATTAGACATTTGATGTTTTAATTTTTATTAGCATATTGACTACATATTCCTGTTCTATTATGCCTTAAACTTCATGCATAATATGCATGTTATACATTGACCATTATTCCCTTTGTGTGTTGTTGTTTTAGCCACTTTTCAGCACTTTCATAAGGTGTGGAAAGAGAGAGGGAGGTCTAAGCCTGCTGACAGGTTTCAGAAGTTATCTAAAGTATTGACTGAAATTTTACTGATACATTCCTGCAAACCTAGGCAATAAAACTTAATACCCATTTTAATACTACACTTTTTCTTGATAGATATGTAGCGAACTGCGAGGAAGAAGCTGCAGCAGAGGAGGAAGAACCTCAACCAGCCTGGATGGCCAGAGAGAAGAAACAGATGATGTGTCCAGTGTGTCGGGATCCAATTCAAATTGAGGTACTGTACATGGATACATTACATGTTCAGCAACTGTCATAATCTTGAGCTGTGGCAAATCTTTCCTGGAGGATCAAGGCTATCCACTGATCTTCACATCTAGAGATTTTGAGCTGGTTGTACTGTCACCTTTATGGGGACCTGGTTGTGGATCTCTTAATATCATATTTGTCTTTCCTGGTGCCAGTATGAGGGGGTTTAGCAGTCTTTCCAGCTTTTTGTTGATAGAGCTCCTCTCACTTGCTTTTGGGATGGATGCTTATTCTCCCCTATTGCTCAAGTTATCCAGGGCTTCCAACTTTTCCTGACCCCAGTTCCTTTTGGGCCTGTTTACACATTGGATTAGGCACTTTCCTTTTTGTCCTTATCCTGCCCCCCTCCCCTCAGTGGAAGATTTAATTTTCAAATTTGCTTCTTGTTGGTTCTGGCCTCTAGTAGTTTTGTTAGCTAACTTAATGCTGTTCGACACAAAAAGGGGCTTTGCTCTTTTCATCCTGGGGACCACTTTCTCCATCTATCACCATAATTGTCCTTTTATGCCAAGATTTTTTTCTTTTTTTCTGGGTCCTTTGGTACTTGGACGCTTCATTTGTCTGAATGGAGGTACTACAGTCCTCTGTCCTGTAGGTGAATTATAGCATTACAGTATTTGCCAGGCTTTCTATGATTATCTGTTGGGTTTGGGGTTTCAGTGGTCTAGTAGTGTTGGCTGCATGTTATCTTCAGGATATTTGGGCACCTTTTCAGTTGTTGAGTGATTTGTTTTTATCTGAGCTCTGATTTTCTAGTCATCTCACCTCACTGATCAACCCTACATCTTTAGATTCCTTTTTTTTTTTTAGCCAAAAACCAGTTTTCCTGGTCTTCCAATTTTTACCAATGGGATGCTACCAAGGGCCAGTCCATCAATTATGAGCTGGCTTTTTCTGTTTTTTTTTTCTCAGTAGCTCCCTGTAACTGCCCTCTTTTCTTGGTGAGGCTTGGGGCTCTCACGCGCGAACTGGATGGACAGGTGGAACCCCACATTCCATATTTTTTATATGATACCTGTCTATTACTTAATGTAAGTAATGATGTTGCCCCTCCCACCTTCTGCCAGCTTCACTGCACAATGAAATCTCAATAGTGTATGAGAAAATATTGACACTGGTTAACTCTCATCTCTGCTCTTCCAAACTCCATGTAGTTGCCATAGAACTTTGGTTAAAATTAATTGGTCATATTTTTTGGTGCTTAATTATAGGCACAAAAAAATCCTTATTTATGTATTGTGTAAATATTCATGAACATATATTACAGCACTTATAATAAAAATCTGTAAATTTTGGTTTATACACACAGCAAAAAAATAGCAAATTTTCAGATCACTTTGTTAGGTCCAGGACAATAGGACCTGAATTTTGGCATATACAGTAATAGACCAGCTAATAAAGGATTTGCTGACTTTATGGTTAGGGTTTGATATACTGTACTGGAAAGCTTCATGCAATGCCAGTTAAAGACAAAATTATCATTGCTTCTGTTATACTTTGCATGTATTACAAATAAATTGTCTAATTGGTATCTTTTTTTTTCATAGTGCATTTTGGCCATTTAGGGTTTGAATTTGCTTGTGCAAGTGTTTTGGCCATGGTCAGGCTGATTCATTGATGATAGAGAATCGAGATGTACTGGCAAACGTAATTGTTCATACTTTGTGTCTTTACAGCTCAATTGTAGTGAGCTGTTGCTCGCACCTCCCCCTGAGGAAGAAGAGAGCACTGCTGAATTTCGAGCAGACAGTCCCGAGTTGATAGCCCTTCAGCAGCGGATGGCTCAACTTTACATACAGCAGAAAGAAAAGGGAGGAATAATTGATTTAGAGGAAGAGAAGAATAAATTTTTACTTTCCTCAAATAGGGCAAGTATTAATTTTGTTTTGCAAATTGGCTGTTGTACTTCATTTTAAAACTCGCCAACTTAACAATTTCGTCCAGCAGCGATGCATCTGTGTCAATAAATAAATTGACGGATGTCCGCTGGTGACGCATGTTGTGTCAAGAATTAAAATATTTGTTAAAATTATATTTTTTATCCTATCATTATGGGACTAGTTTTAAAATGCATGTCTTTAGACTGCAAACAATCTTATACCATAATGAACAACATAGCACAACAGTTGAGGTCAAAACACTGGAAAGATTATAAATACAGTTCTTGTGGTGATGAGCATACAAAATTAAAATACTTGTTAAAATTACATTTACTGTTCGATTATCACGGTACTAGTTTTACAATGCGCGCCTTTAGATTGCGAACAATTTGATACCAAAATGAACGACGTAGCTCGAAAATTGAGGTCGGAACACTGGAAAGAGTACATATGTTATTGTGGGTGCGAGCTCCCAGGAAATACCAGGCCCACCTTGGGGTGGGTCGGAGCGCACGCGCCGGGTGCACGAAAATGTTAACATGCAAATACAATAGTGCTATTAATGCACTATATTAGTCTTTTATCGAAGAAAGTTTCCTGGATAATGGCTGATAGAGGAAGTGTACTGGTGATACACCAGTGCCTAGACATCACCTCATTTACTGGCTCATACTTGAGTAATTATACCTCTTGTGCTTTAAAAGGCATCAAATCAGGCAAGCTAAGGTATTTCCATCATTTAAAAAGCAGTGTTTCTTATATTATTATTGTCACAAAAATTGGGTTTTAGTTGTTGATTATTGGTTGCCCAGGAATGCATTTCCCATTTATAGCATTGAACCTATTGAAAATCTGGTTCCGAGTAAGGAATAGCCGACTTAAGAATGCCTTTTGATAACTTGTTACATTTGTACCTCGGGGAATGCCTGTAATGCCCAAATTTAAAATTGATAGGCTCATTCTACTGTATTTGACAAGTGGTTACTGAGTAATGTAAAATTGATAGATTGCTCAAAATTTATGAGCACTTGAGATAAATCTGAGGAGTAGAGGAACTCTCTAACCTGTGACAAGTAGCCTTTTACTTTATAATGTGTGATTAATTTTGATTAATTTTGTTTCAAAGTTTCATACCAATTTATTTGTTACAGGCTGATTCTTGTGAAGTGCTGGAAGACGGGGTTGAAGATGTTGCTAAAATGAGCAGTCCAGATTCTCCTGTAGAGCCACGTCCAGTAGAACCCACCATTCCTCCTAGTAGGAGAGACAGCCGTTCAATGCATCAGAGATCACAAGGACAAAAGTCACAAGGCGGCTATGGCCGTCAGTCTTGGAGAACAGATCTGGCAGGTGATGGTAGGCATTGGTCCGGAAATCGTGGTGGACGGGGTACGAGTGGTAGCCGTGGTAGAGGGGGAAATGGTCGTTTTGTATATCATACTTCATCCAGGATTATCTCTGAGCCACAGGGATACAACTCTACGGACTATAAAACCTCATGCGTAATTGATAATGGGTATGGAACCAAAGCTCATGGAAAACGTGAGGGCAGCTCTTATGAAAATGGCAGTCTTTATAATGGGGACAATCGATCTGGAAGTAATGAAATTGGCAATGGTGCAGGGGGAGTATGCAGAAAAGGCCCCAAAAGTTCTGGAAATCGACAGAGATATGGTCCTGGAAGAGGTAGGGGACGTGGGGCACCCCCAGGCTTTGCCCCATCATCATTCCGTCACTCTGCTCAAGACTGGAGTTGACGATTGTGGCTTGCAGGGTTACGTCCACCCTGTCTCTTCTTTACTTTCTGTCTTCTCATCTATCTACTAAGTATTATAATTGTGACTTCTTTAACCCTAAAGTATTCAGCTTATTTAACTTTCCAAAAAATTAAATGTTATAGAAATAGTTTTAATGACACCTTTATGCTTGTTCATTCTAGATCAGTAGAAGAATGTGTTAAATGTGCATATGTGTCATACATCCTTACGTTCTCCTTACTTCTCAAAAATCTGTATTTAAGATACATAAATAGCAATATCTCATCACAATACATAAGATACTCATCTGACTTTAGAATACAAGGTAAGTTTTCCATACTTGTGCTATATCTGCAACTTTGACAGGAGAATGTCATTCAGCATACTTTCCTTTATGGTAAAGATCCGAGTACCTTGAAAGTTGAAGAAACTCGTTTAATCAAAGTCACTCATAAAACAATATCGGTGATACGGACTTCCTGTCAAGAAATTGTAGATTGTAGCATAATGAATAGACATTTATATATTACGTTATATTTTAGATATTGGTTTCTATTTGATTTACCGAAAAACTTTATTTTTTATAAGCACAAAATATTTACTTTTTATAATAGGTTATTTATCAGATGATCAAGTGTTGGCTGTATAATTGTCAGTTTATTTATGAACTTTCTGTATTGCATTTGTAATTGGCAACAATTACTAGTAATACCTAACAATAAAGTACATGCCCTTAATTTTGGAGTGAGTGCCTGATGAATGCAGTTTTTCAAGGGTTTGATGTGATAAGAGAGCTGACTACCGATTGTTGAGTCGCGTACATGTTTGTTAAATAATATAGAACTGTCATCTGAATTAAGGCGTATTCATAGAAATTTATACTAAAATAAGTAAGGAGTAAGCAATGTCTTTGTATTTATATTTTTGTTAGTATTAATGTACAGTAAGTCATTGCATTGAAAAAGAGGTTGGCAGGTGCAGAAATCATCAGGTTAATCCTCTAATAGTCAGCTATGTAGTATTAGGAAAGTTTGGGGTTAATGAAACAACAATACACTAGCAGTTTCAATCTTCTGTTTAAATTATTGTACAACGTGATCAGAGTTTTGTACTGCATTAAATCTTTGTAATGAAAGATTTGACATGTGCCGAGTGCAATAATTGGTACTGGTCATCCATTGTTATTTACCATTTATTTTGTCTTCTGTAGGATTTTCGACAAGTCCTACGGAAGTTACAGCAAGTTTTTATGGCCTAGATGTACCTGAAGTTGAGCTCACTTGGTTGAAGGTTATTGTATTCTATAATCATTGGAGCACGATGTTTTTTCATGTAAAATCATAAGTATTGACCTTGCATATCTATTAAATTTTTATAGCAACCGAGTACAAAAACACTATTATTGTGTTCCCGCAGTATTTTTGCAGAGCAACAAAATTATTTCCTAAAGTTGGTTCCTACAATTCTCCATTTATGCCTTGTATTTTAGCTATTCTTGTGTAGTAAAGATAGTGAAGGAGCACCCAAAGCTCTGACTTTAGACTTTTACATGCTGGCTTGCTTGTCATAGGAAAATCGATCTCTGCTTTGTTGACAACAGAAACGAAATTATGTGGAAAGTTTCATGACTGCTTCACTATGCATGTACAAGTAATTATTTATAGAAGGCACTATGCCGGGAAGACTAGCACCGTCTATGGCACAGGTTACGTGCAGCTGGATGAATGATTATAACAATGGATATTAATTGGGGTGGTAAATATATCAAAATATAAAGCAGCAAATACAATTTTCATAAGTTTAGATAGCACTGGCTTAGAAATAGGGTTGTTGAATTATGGAACACGGTGAATAACATAGGCTTTGGGGTCGGTGAATTGTTTCAAGGTAGGTTAGGTTAGGTAGAGTTGGTGTGGATAAGTAGGTAGGAGCTGCCTCACATGGGCCAATAGCTATCTTGCCGTTTTCTTTATATTTCTCTTTGCAACTGTCATTGGGAAGATGGGCACCCACAGTCCATTCCCCAAACTGCCAGGTGAAGATGAGTGCTTGTATTGCACAAGTAATGATTATTCAAGAAATGGTACAGTTTACCCAGATTTTGGAGTGTCATTAATTATGTTATCAGTATATCCAAGTCTTCCTCCAAGTGAGCAAACTTGTGGTAACATCAGCCTTTCAGTTTTGCTTTAACTTCACTAGTCAGTCTAAGAGACTAACTGTGCTGTTCAGTTGTCATTCAGCAGTAGTGTTTATTGTACCCTTTGTCTGCTATAAACTGCTGTTTGTTTTGTTGGTGTGTGGTATTCCAAATGTTCAAATAAACATCTCTCAGAAGTGAGAGTCCAGTCATTGCCAAGCTACAGCACTTTGATTTTGGTCATAATTACATAATTAATAAGTTAGGATACAATTATAGTTTGTGATTGTTATTATAATAATTACTAGGAGGCTTACAAGGCAACATAAGTGTGATTGAAGCTCTTGCTCCTAAATGTTTAGTGGCACTGTACTCTTGTGTTCTCAGGTTTTTATTATTAAATTCATATATTATAAAACTGTTTAATTTCCTTAATGCTGTTTCTTTTTTATTGATTGCATTCATTCTACGAGAAATAATTCGTTTATGTATTTAACGGTTATTTGTCGTCTGACTTCAGTTTGTGAGCTCATATGTAATATCCATGACCATTGTCATTCATAATGTGATAATTGTATTATAAATTATTCAAGACGTAATGGAAGAAAGTTGCATTGGAAACGTTGCTAACATCATATGGCAATGTACATAAGTGATTACTACTTAATTATTTTTTGTGTGTGTACATCATATGTTCACATTCAAATGAATGTTTACATGTGAATTTCTTTGTGAACTACACCTTAACGAATACAACGTGCATTTGTACGCATACACATAGAAGCAAGCATGAATACATAAATGTGTGCGCGCGCGCGCACACACACACACACACATGCATGCATGCTTGCACACAATGTTCTTGGTATTTCTACAAAATGATTGTATGTTATCTATCCTGAATCAATATGTTGGTATCCATTTATTCAGATAAAAATACATGTAAACTATTTATTTTTTCCAAGATCAGAAAATGTCGCATAAAAGTTTTAGCATTTGTCGCCAATGCAGTTGCATTACTCCCAAGATATTCTAGAAACTCTTCTCTTATGGTACATCCTACTGTGTGAAATTTATATTGATGTCCATGTATTAATTGCCATTGCCATGAAGAAATAGTTAAACGTACCTTTAGTATGAAAAATATATGATACTTAATGACTGCCCTGATCTTTGTGTTTGTTTTATAAAGTTTCCTCATTTTCTTAATAGTATGAACACAGATTGTGTAATAACAACATACGGAAATTTACGAGTCAAGTGTAAGCATGAGACGGCATACTCTTTAACAGAGTATGAAAGTGTTGCAGTGTAGAAAAACAAGCAATAAGGGTGAAAGCTGCCTGTCTCGGTAGCTACAGGAACTTCATATTCCACGAAGAGCAATATATCTTTTATATACAATGAGAAAATTGCAGCCTATCCTACCAAAGTGAGGTACAGTACTTGCAGTAGCAATGTGAACGATAGTACAAATATGTCGTGATAGACCACCAGGAAGTAGACGTTTGTATTATTGAATTTGGACAAATCAGAAACGTTTATATATTTGTTGCTAATAAAACCTAGCCTATCCTAAGCCTAATTATTACATATTGGTACGATTGACCACATAGTTACAAAAGTACTGTACTGTCATTTCAGGAGGATGGGTCAGAAAATTGTGAGAACAGTATCTGAATTTTTTTTTAACTTATTTTTGTTTAATACTTCATGAAGATATTTGAAGATTTTTTATGAACTGCTGAATATTGTGTGAAAACTTTAAAAAGAAAATTTAAATTATTGGTAATAAAATATTTAGAACCTTTTATTTCTTAATCTAGGCAGCCATTTGAAACTACTGTAATAGGATTTTAGAATTACGGCTATGTCAATCTTACATTTTATTTATTTTTATAACTTGAATTTAATTTCATATTTGCAGTCCTAAAGTGGATGGCTGTCATAGGAGGAAAGGGCCATCTTAAAAAAAACAAAAACAAAAAAAAAAATGATAAAAATTATAGTGTTTTTCAGTAATCTCTTATTTTCTGCGAACAATTTCAACATTCTGGCCGGCCTTTGTTGTAAACGTTCAAACAAATTTGATCGTGGATAAGAACACCCAATTTGTGCAAGATCCCTGACCATTCATCATGACCATTTCTGAATATAAGGACAAAATGGGGTGTAAAATTTGTCAAATTATTAAAAGTCTATCAGTCATACATGTAGAGTGATTTTATATTTACTATCCTATATCTGTTACCTCCTTGTGGTGTGCTCTGGGTAATGTTAACATCAAACTTCAAAACTGAATTTGACAGAAACTAGAGATAAGACATCATGAACATTACTCTCATCTTATTATTACAGTAAAGAGAATTATAACATCTTATTAGTAAAGAGAAATAAACCAATTGATCTTTACAACTTGCACAATTTGCATGCAAAAACAAACAAATACTCGCCATTCTGTGTTTAATGACCTGTGTATACTGTATATATGTGTGTGTGTGATGGGGGTCAGGGTCGTCCCAGTGCTCTTCCTTCGTGAAGTTTGACAGAACTCCCATTAACATGATATATCAATGAGAAAATCAGTAGGAACCATAGGCCCGAACTTCTCCTCATGGCTCTTACTGATTTTCTCAGTAGTTTTAATAATAGTGAATTCAGATATTGACTGGAGGCAGAGAGAACAGAGGAATGAGAAACAGATACAAAGAGAAGAGACCTAGGGGTGTTTATAATACTTTTACTAAGCTAAACTGCTACTAATAATATGTAAAGCATTTAACTTTGGCCAACCTTGACCAGGTTATGTCCACCCCAGACCATTCCCCTTGCATATTTGGGTGAGGCTGGCTCCAAGCGTCTGGCTTCCAACTTTTGACAAAGAGGAAAATGGGGCAGGGGAGAAGGGACAAGACGGGTTGAATGGGGGGGGGGAAGAAGAGAGAAAGACTATCCCCGGCTGCGTCCAGGCCTCTCCCAATCTCCCCCTTTTCTCTCTCAACTTTGTTTCATCCCATCTACCGCGCAACTTTCTCCCGCAAGATCCTCTCTCACTCCTCTCCTCCATGTCATGTAGGAATATTTATTCGATATGCAGCACTTAAAATGATCCCCAATGTGTTTTGTGAAGGTCCGAGAATTACACACATTTTAGTTAAACCTAAGAACAACACTCTAGATGAAGCGACCTCTCTGAGCAGGAGCTGGACGGACACTTGTCAGATTATAGTTAGGGTGAAGTGCTTTATCGTACTCGCTCGCACCTGCATCCTCATTTCTTTGAATTAAAATAAAATAAAATGTTTGGTCATGTAAAAGTACATAAATAAGAGGATGAGTTACACACAGAATGTTGGATCTGGATCTGTTAGGTAAAGGGAGTGAGAAAAGTGTTAATTCGTCACACCTGGAAAGAATTTAAATTCCTCTGGCGATAGGAGGTACAAAATAAATTACAAATCGTTCATGTATATATTGTTATTATAGGAGCAACGAGGCCAACAACCGTGAGGGTTGTTTAACAAGCGCGCCACAGCTCGTCCCGTGGCGGGAATCAGAGTCGCCGGACGAGGTAACGAGCGCTGGCAGAAGCAGACATTACTCACTCCCACCCCGTCGGTATGACGTCCTTACTGGTTGACGTCGACGGATGTGATCCCAGCCTTGCCCCAACTCTGTGACAGTGTAATATGTCGTTGTTTTACGTGCTTCCTGAGGATAGCACAGAGTACTGACATGAAATTAAGGAAGAGGAAATAGTCGGATGAACAGTTGGTATGTGAAATGTTGTGACTGCCTGTGAATGGATAATGTATTCGTATACATTATCGTATAATTATAATGTATTCGTACAATTAGTCAGGACCCAGTCAGTGAAGTGTGTCGCACCTGACGATAGGCCAGGCTGGGAGGACACCTGACCATGCCCTACTAATTGGTTAAACCTCATGACAACAACTTGACATAAATATCATACCGTGCTTGATGGTAAGTGTTTGGTCACTACCTGACCCGGTAGTTCGATCCCAACAATCTCACCTGTGCTACGAAGCACCGAAAGTTGGTTTCAACCACCGTAACGATGACATTTTAGTGCCCTCATTACGACAGTTTCTTGAGCTTGGGAAACCTTAGGAGTAGGACGCGTTCGTTGAAGCTTTCTTTAATATCTACAGAGGCAGAAGGAAAATTAATATATGCCTGAGATTTATTATATATTCAACATGCCTGAGGTTTTATTATATACTCGACAAAGTTGAATAATGTAGAGTGAGGTGTTTCGCAGTTGATTTCTGCTGTGGAAAGTTCTCTTGGTTTAGAGGATGCTAAGGTGCACCTAAGTGTATGCTGGTTGCTGGATGAGTGTTTGATATGTAATGCCTCGGCTATGTCTAATTTTCTGGTGATTGTGCCTGGTAATTATTGATATCACTACAGTAGAAGTTTATACATAGCCAAGGAGCTATATATCAAACACTCATCCCGCCACCAACAGTCAGCTTACACACCGGTACACCTTTCCATTATTTAAATGTGTAACAAAAGTCTCTTCTAGAGAAGACTGTGGCCAACTGTTACACAAAGCTGTAACTAATATCTGAATGCACAGCAGTGTGTTTACAATTGTACAATGAGCTCATTTTGATAATTTTTTACCTGAATTTACATAAGGAGCACCATCTCTAGTGACCTCGACAGGAACAGGAAGCCGTCGACATGTCAAAATTCTCCCAACTCTTTTTTTTGAGGATTTTTTCCAGTTGAATTTTAAACTGAAGTAATGGCCTGACATTTGTGACTTTGGCGGATGGACAATTCCATGGGACTGCTAAAGCGGCCAATTGTAAAATGAGCGGACCATGTTCCATGCCTCTCCCACCGCTTCCCTCGGGATTCCATGGGACTGGAATATTACCCTGTTGTTGAAGGAGCATCTCCTGTTTTCCGTCATTGTGACTTATTGCGCTTCAAACTGTTGAGGGGTGGAAATGGATCATGGAGCTTTAACATACATCCAACGCTCTAGTTTCAGTTCAAGACAAAAATAGATTAGATTCTAAAAATAACAAACCTACGACACCAGAATACAACAAGTATTTTCTCTCTGAACTACAACGTTAAGATGCTGGAACAGAGAACTTGTCACTTTAGGCCCGTACGTTCCTATAATTGCAGGAGCGTAGTGAATGCGACGCTCCCAGGTGATTGGCTGACTCGCATGCTGTTCTAAAACGCTGACTGACCAGAAGTACTGAGCAGGCTCACCATTAAAAAAGGAAATGTCTTTGCGTGTATCCTGCGTTACGTGGAAACCCAGGGTTTGGGGAACGTATCAGTGTGGGAAGGCAAGCTGTGTGCCTGACACTTCACTGCCAGCCATAGTCACCCAACGACCATCATGGACAAAACATCCCAGCATCTGGGTCAGCTGCTAGCTGCTATCAAGGAAGGTAGCGCTACTAAAGCGGTTTCACTCCTGCATAATCTTGAAGGTTCACTACCAAATATCGAGTCTCAGTCGTGGCTACATTTGGCTGTAAATGCTCCGTTCAACAATCGTCGACTGTTACGACTGTTTCTGGAGGAAGGAGTCTCCCCTGAAACGACTGACAGTTCTGGAACCACGGTTCTTCATTTGTCGGCGAAGAAAGGTAAAGTCGCATGTATTCAGGAGCTAATACGATGGAATGCGAACGTTGACAGCAGGGACAGTAAGGGTCAAACTCCAATGCATTACTTGGCCCGTAACAACCACGGTAGCACAGTAGCCTGTATGCAACATCTGCTGCAGGCTGGGGCTTCCCGTGACGCTACCACCACCATGGGCTTCACTCCTCTACATATTGCATCAGAAAGTGGCAATGTTATCGCTGCCAGAGCACTCCTGACTGCTGGAGCTGGTCACAGTTCAATCGACGCACGAGGAAGGACGCCTCTGCATTTAGCGTCAACTACGAAAATGGCGGAGACTCTGCTGTCTGCCGGAGCTAACGTGACGTGCGAGGACGGCGAGGGTCACACACCTCTGGACAGAGCCATCAAGCACTTCCCAGATATCGTCCCAACACTTCTGGGCGCCGGAGTAGCCGTCCAAGGTGACCCTCAGGATAGAGACCTTCGTGTCTTTTTCCACCTTAATATTATCAGTGGGGGTCAAGGAAGCGAAGTGAATCTGCTTAAATCTATGACGCTTCTTGGTCATCAGGAGCTTTTAAAGCATCCTCTGTGTGAAACATTTATGCATCTGAAATGGCAACGCGTCAGCAAATTCTTTTATACAAGGTCCTTAATTTTCTTTGCTATGATTATTTTATTTTCGTCAGACTTGTATTTCAATCTCCCTCTACCTCTTGTTGACAACTCCAAGCTGGATTCTAAATATGCTAACCAATCTGAAGTAAATAAAGGACTGGAGGATATATATCGCCGGTTTACGATGGTGGGAATCCCTCGCGTAATGTCGACTGTCCTCTTGCTGGTAGTGACAGCCAGAGCCATAGTGGAGATGGTCACGCTGAAGACGCAGTACTGGAAGAATGTGGAGCGGTGGGTGGAGGTGGGATTCCTCTTGAGTGCCGCGGTGCTACTGGTTTACCGCGACGACGAGCGGGGTTGGCAGCGACACCTGGGCGCCATCTCCGTCGTCCTCGGGTGGTATAAGGTCACCCTCCTGGTCGGCCACATGCCTGCTGTTGGTATCTACGTCCACATGTTTCAGGCGGTGAGTGACCTGTCTGGCCGCTGTTAATGAACGCACCAGTGTCTCCTCCCCTTCGCTGTCTCATAACAATATTACACAAGGAGATCACACTAACATAATAAATCAACGAGAAAATAAATTGTAGCAATGTGAGGGATTCGAACCCTCGATTTGGGTTCTACCAAGCTACGGACCTTCCCTCTGGACCACATGGTGCAAGTTACACATCTGGTATTCCACCGAATCCACAGGATGTCTGGAGGCTCCTACTGAAGCCAATCTAGGTTTTCACGCTATGATGTTAGTGTGATTTTCTTGTGATTGTGATGCTGGAGCCCGGTAGAGAACTCGGAACAAAAAGTTCCAAATAGCACGGGCTATGGTGAGCCCGTAGTAGACTTACCTGGCACAGGAGCGGGGCTGTGACTGCAGTGGAATCCCAAATAATATAATTTATTCCATGTCTTAGTCCAGAGGTAAGAGTGCATAAGGGAATTGTGTAAAACCCTGGTTTGTCTCGGAGAGGTTGCAGGATCCAAGTAAATTCAGTAGAATTTCTGGTTGCAATTCTTTTACCATGTCGTAGCTCAGTCGATTAAGGCAGCGTCTGGGATGCTCTCGGGCGTAGGTTCGAATCCTCGTCACGGCCCTTGTGGATTTGTTCCAGAGGTAAGGTGCGCGGCTTGGTAGTTCCCAGATCGAGGGTTTGAATCCTTTGCATTGCTCCAAATGATTTTCCCAATACTCTTTATACTAAATACATAGTAATAATAATAATAATTTTATTAAAATAAAGATTCAAATTCAAATAAGTTTATCGGGAAAATAAAAATAATCAGAACATGATGTAGCATTGGATCTTAAATAATTTTTTTAATTAGGTTAATTTATAAATTGTCATAATAAATTATATAAATTTAAGATTATTGTAATTATATAATTTAAACAATTATAATAAATTGATAAAACTAAATAAAATTGATAAAACCAAAAAAATGATGAATCTAAAGAAAATTAATAAAACTAAAAACAATTGATAACTAAAAGATGTAAACTAATTATTATATAAAATAACATAAAATATAACAACTTTCTCTAATGTAACTTTCTTGATGATAATATTGGTAATAATTGGAATAACTAAAAACGTAACGAGTAATATATATGAGGAAGACCCAGAACATCACCTACTAAGACTAAGATGTGGTTTGGTGATCATATCTTCAGCCACATTATTGTGACTCATTGTCCCACTTCTTTAAAGGTTAAATGTAACACATACAGGGAATAGCTTTAAGCTGGAAAAAAATCCTCGGGAACAACGAGGGGATCTTTGACAAGCCGCCAAGTTCCTGTACCCCTACTAGTGGAATAGTGACCCTCGGGTAAACTCATGTAAATAAAGAGGAAGAATAAGATATACGAGGAAAAGCGAATAATGTGTATCCCTTCACACACAGGTAGCAGGGAGAGTGTTGATCTTCTCCCTCGTCTATGCATCTCTCTTCGTGGGCTTCGCTCTCAGTTTCCATCTGGTGTTCTCCGGTTATCCCTTCCAGAGGGCGGACAACCTCATACCCAAAACACTGGCCATGATGGTCGGGGAGCTCGACTACGCTAGGCTCTTCGGCGCTGATGATGTGCGCGCTCCAGATTACTTGGATCGTAAGTATTTCTTGAGCGCTGTTCCATATTTATTTATATACAAGAAGTTACATTGGGTTTGTTTGAGTACATAGCATTGATGTTTTTTCATCCTTGTAAAGCCACTAGCACGCATAGCATTTCGGGCAGGTCCTTAATCTAACAGATAATTTTAAGTAGGTAAATTCTAGCAAAATTGAATCTATATCTTTATATATTGATCACAAAGATGTGGGCGATATCTCTAATTTGAGTGAACTCTTTCTTCACTAAATACGTTATATGGCAAACCTATAATTGAATTGCAAATTCCTTTTATTCAATATATTTTACTAAAACTATAATATCTGCTTTACCCAATTCCATTACCATCGAAACTGACAATATTCCCTCACTCAACTGTTCTCACACTGCATTAATTATATTTCTCTAATTCACTTTTCAAACTTGTGCTTGTGGTTTAATCTTCACAAACTCATTATTGCCCAAGACATTATCAGCCATCAGAACTGTGTGAGGACGGTGTCTTCACACACCATCCATGAAATGTACTATATAAGGTGGAGGAAAGACCCAGTATATGTATAAATGTATTAAAAACCAATTTTTCGAATGCAACCTGCAACCTTTCTCATGGCGCTTTATACCATGTTCTCTGCATACACTGTATACAGAAACCTTGAGAAAGGATGTAGGTTACATCCTAACTTTTTTTGTTTAATACATTTATACACATACTGGGTCTTTCCTTCACCTTCATTCAAGCACTACGGCATTGTAGTTTCTCTAAATACACTATTACTAAAATACCTGCCCGTATATATGTACAAAACATACACACTCGCAGTACAGTCTATTGTGTTGTTACTATTTGCAAAACTCTATGCTACCTCAGCCTTGAATCTCTTTACATAGGATTGTTGCAGAACCCATCCTCACCACACGAGAAGTACCGGTTATCTTACACACTCCCAGTCTGTCTCGATCGTGATTTAAAAAAGGAGTGTAAATTAATAATAATCATTAGTGTGAAAAGATGTCATGCATAAATTTACAATTGCTGTATCTGCAATTAATGTGCCTAAGATAGTGTGCTTCGTGCAATGCATTTTTGCAAAATCCTTCAATATACGCAGTGTTTCGGACAAGTATTTTTGAAGAAAAACAAGTTTACGTGTTATATGTCTGTTCAAAGTTGGAGACCAGACGCTTGAGGCTAGCCTCACCCAAATTTGCAGGGGGAATTGTCTGGGGTACAGGATGGACATAGGCTGATCTGGGTAGGTCTAAGATAAATACTTTAAGCAATATTAACAATTATAAACACTCCTAGGCCATTTTCATGGAGTCAAGTGTGAAATATGCTATGTGATTAACGTGGCGTTGTTAATGAAAAGGACAAAAATAGTGACAAATGGAAGATAAAGAAAACGTGAAGTATCTGAGACCCATGTATTTATTTGTGTGCTTCTGAAGGAAGTAGTGGAAGGGAAGGACGAAGAGATAGACACGTAGAGAGGGAGACAGACCTGGGCAACGCCGGGTACCTCCCGAGACCAGAATACATGTAGATGCATTATGGGTGAACATAATATATATTAAGATATACAATATACTAGATGTACATTACTTTAAGTTATATTATTTGTAGCAAACATTGCGTCAACAAGGGAATAAAGTTAATTATTAACATACTAAAATGGAAATTCCCATCCCAGTAAAGAACAGGAGCCAGATTTACGAAATTGTTACGCAAGCACTTACGAACCTGTACATCTTTTCTCAATCTTTGGCGACTTAGTTTACAATTATTAAACAGTTAATGAGCTCCAAAGCACCAGGAGGCTGTTAATAACAATAACAACAGTTGATTGGGAAGTTTTCATGCTTGTAAACTGTTTAATAAATGTAACCAAAGCCGTCAAAGATTGAGGAAAGATGTAAACGTTCGTAAGTACTTGCGTAACTGCTTCGTGAATCAGTTGTCGCTCCCCGACAAAAATGTCGCCCCTGGGCGACATTTTTGTTATTCTCTCTTATCCGCCATCTAACTTTTTCCTCCCAACAACATCCTGTCCCTATTCTTACTCTCCACTTCATGCAATAATTCCAGTTATTACTTACGTCGACCTTGTATACGTTCTGTAGCTGTATCATCAGAATCATTATCATCAATTTTAATTAGTACTATTTAAATTGATCACATTAAAAAACCTTCACCAACAAGATAATTTATGTGATATATACTAATTTTAAATATTAATCTAAGAATAATTGTACGCGCATAAACTCCTTGATTACTGCAAATACTGTATTATATGTACAGCACATGTATTTGTACTCACTGAATTTGTGCGCCCCTTGAGGGACTTGAAGTGGAGGGGGGGGGGGGTAGAAATAGCCTAAGCTACTCTATCCCTTTGAGATGTATTTTTTTTTAGTCTCAATAAACTTACATGAACTTGAACTCTATGCGCTTGAAGACTTTGCAAAAAGTATTCATACCTTTAACACTTTGTCCGTGTAAAATCAGTATAACCTGAATGTATTTTACAAATAAACATTGAAGACTCAATGTTTATTGATTATTGCACGAAGCACACTACATTAGGCACATTAATTGCAGATACAGCAATTGTAAATTTATGCATGACATGTTTTTCCCACTATTATAAATGACTCTTCATTTAACACAATGGTGATTTGGATTCTTCTACAGGTACAGCCCAGATAGTGTTTGTGGTGTTTGTGGTGGTGATCACTGTGGTCACTACCAACCTCCTGGTGGGCCTGGCAGTACAGGTGAGCGCCAGCGTTAACAGTTTCACGGTCAACACTAAACCCAAATATTGTCGACTTGAGAATGGTCCAGGACGGACCGAAACGTCGTCGTCCCTTCACCTTCTAGTGTGTGGTCTGGTCAATATTGTTGACGAGGCTTCTATGCGTCCTGGACCATTATCAAGACAGGATTTGCAGCCCATTCTCATAAACAAAAGGCATAATGCTCGTTAATCCTACCATCAAACTTCCCTATTTATGCATGAAAACTGTACAAGACTCACAAATGATGATGTTCGAACATTTCTCGAACAGAAGCAAATGTTTCACCCACGTACTACAAGCACAAATAATTGCCAACAGAACCTAAATAACTAACCTAACCTGTGCCTAAATATACATAATATGCTAATATATATTAATTAATATCAGACAATTTTCATTTTGAATGAACAGCATGTTAAAACTGATGAATGCGTCTTTTGGGGGGGTCGACCGCTGGATGGAATGATCATAGCCTGAAGGCGTGTTGCCAAATACAAATATTTTACAACAAAACCTAAACACCTAACCTAAGCTAGGCCTAACTATACACCAAATTGTAATTTATATTATTTATTTATATGACAAAATACAGATTGTATATAGCCATTACGTGAATATTTATGAATACGTCTTAGGGTGAGCTGCAGCTTGGATGAGCGAGGCCTGAGAAGGGACGCTGACTTTAGCAACATTTACTCAATGTTGTAAACTTTCTTGATTACAATACTTCGAACGCCATAACGATGAGATCATTGACTTTAGTATAGTGTAAGTTACTATAATAAGTAATGACCCGCACATTTTATCATACTAAGATTCTAAGAGATGAGGATGCAGGTGCAGTTATGGTAAACGCTTCACACTAACTGTAATCTGACTGTATCCGTCATGTACTCTGCTCACAGAAGTCGCTTAATTTTCCCTCATTTACTCCTCAATGTACTGTACATGGGTTTCTATAAATATATGCAAGTCTCGGACCTTCAACTCAAAAACACTGGGGGATAATTTGAAGTATATCGAATAAATATTCGTACATGTACCTGCGTATCCTGGACTGTACCTGGATGGAGTTCTGGGAGTTCTGCTCCCAAGCCCGGCCCGGAGGCAGGCTTGACTTGGGAGAGCTTTGTCAAATAGGCTGTTACTTAGAGCGGCCCGCCGGCCCACATGTCCAATACAGCCCGGTTGGTCCGGCACGTCTTGAGGGGAAACTGTTTTCTGTTGCCGTCCAATTTTGTTCCGGCAATATTCCTTATACTAGCTGGGAGGATGTTGAACAACCGTGAACCTCTGATGTTATCAATGTTTCCTGTGCCCATGGCACCTCTACTCTTCACCTGGAGAACTTCAGAGGCCGGGCGCGTTATTAGGATGCAACAAGCATTTGCCCTCTGAATTCCACGGCTAAGGTGCTGGAGCAAGTAACGTGTCGTAAGGAAGCTGTAGCAATGTGCCGGTTCTCTGTATATAAAGGTTTCCTGCGTCTCTCTGAAAGAAGCAGCATTATCCCCTTAATTTACACTGTATTAAAGGTAACTGGCCAAGATGGAGGAACATGTGTTGCTCCACACCAGCAGCTTGCCATCTTTCCAGGGGAAGCCTGACGACCACACCTGGACACGTCGAGTGTTGTGGAGTTACAGTTGTGTTTTTCTCTGCGCTTGGCGGCAGGTTTGTAGATAAGCTTCTGTTGATGAGGGTGCTGACTTTTTTGTTCACGTCTTGCCAGCTTTCCTTGTGACTTGCGACATGTCACTGTAGTGGATGTATGATCTGCCGATACACGTCACGTGTAATTACCTAAGTGTAGTTACAGGATGAGAGCTACGCTAGTGTGTGTGTCTGTGTACTCACCTAGTTGTGTCTGCAGGATCGAGCATTGACTCTTGGATCCCGCCTCTGTGTGTGTGTGTGTACTCACCTAGTTGTGTTTGCGGGGGTTGAGCTCTGGCTCTTTGTGTGTGTGTGTGTACTGTAATAGGTGCCAGAACTAGCTCATCAAGATCACGCTTACCTCCCACAGGACATTCATCAGCTGGAGAACAAGGCGAGCGTGTACCGCTTGGCTCTCACGGTGGAACAAGAGGCCAACGTAGAAGAAATTCTGAATATGAAGCTGATGGCGTGCCTGTTGCCCCATCGCTTCTTGAACTGGCTCAAGCTACAATGTTCCCTGCTGGGTTGCCTCCCCCACCGCCCTCTTCCCTTCCTCACCACCGGATACAACGCTACTAACTACATTCTCTCTGCCTGGTGGATCAGCAAACTTGTGGGTAAGGGCGTGTTTGTGTGCACCTGATCTGAGAGACTGAACTGACGCTCAGTGTGTCCCATCTCTATATTCCCATTTTAGCTTATTTTCTCGTAAAGTTTTCTAGGCATTTGCGCACACTAAATTATTCTGCACAAGATCGTTTTCTTTCGCTGACCCATAGTCAGTTCTTTCCTTTGATTATGTATTGTTTCTCAGTTCACCTGTTCATGTTCCCATCATAATGGTCTTGCACTTATATGGATAGAAATTTCAGTAACTATCTGTCCAATTATGCCAGCAATTTCTGTCTTGATTCTTCTCATTCTTGATTCTGACAAATATTAACAAGGCAACTAAACTAAAATTAAATTACATATAAACATTGTAAAACAAACGAGACATCAGGCGAGTACATCTGACTGAGTACGTCCACAGGAACAAGGGGACACGGAACTAAATACCCACATGAGCTGCAAACAATACAAATAATTCTATGAGTGTCAGTAGTGAACAAATAAAATGCACTAAGTGGTGGAAGCTTACTGGATACACAACTTCAAATATAGATATAATAGAGCCCAAAAGGCTCGGAAACCTTTTGATTCAACACACCAGGTGATGAAGGGGTTAAGAGGCGGGACCAAAGAACTAAAGCTCCCACAAGAATAATTAGGTGAGTCAACACACACGCAAGTTACCTGATATCATATACAGGGACCATTTAGATGTTAAATACAAATATTATATACACTACAAATGTGTTTTCCACAGGTACACAACATCTGAGCAACATGTCCCAGTACAACATCTTCGTGTGCCCAAACCACTCAGAAACACCCGGCCGAGTGTATGACTGTCTAGAAGAGAATAACATGTCAATTGACTCGATGGAAAAGTCCCCAGACGTGGCCAGGGACACCCCCTACAAGCTGCCCAACTCTCTGCTGGAGAACGTGAAGCAAATGATCAAGAACGGCAGCTACACGAAGCCTTGCGACGTTGAGAGGTTGCAGGAGGAGGAACCTGAGGACTACGCTGAGGAAGACCAACTTCAAGACATACGGAAATCCATCTCCTTTCTCTCACAAGTTCTCCAGAATAGAAACATTGAGGATGACCTGTAAAACCTTCTGTATGCACACCTGTTTATAATTGTAATAATCATCCCCCTTTGTCTGTCTATGCACTGTATAACTCTACTAGCAGTAGTGGTAGTTAATTCCAAACAAATAGTGTTCACAACCCGAAAAATCGCGGATTCGATTCCCATGACAAGACTGAGACGTTTGGGCACAGCTTCTTTCATCTAATACCTCTGTTAACCCAGCAGTAAATAGGCATCGGGAACGTAGGCAACTATATAACTGTGCGATAGATCCTAGGGGGAAGCAAGCCCCGCTCCTGTGCCAGGTAAGTCCACTACGGGCTCACCATAGCCCGTGCTACTTGGAACTTTTTGCTCCCAGTAGCTGAATCTATAACAACAACAACAACAACAACAACCTAGGGAAGGCCAGTCAGTACTTGGCCCAGGAGGACCTCGATAAGCTGAAAGAAGCTTCATGTTTAAGTGAAACCAAATTTTTTATGATGGTAGAGGACCTCCATGAAGATATTACAGTAGAGACAACAAAACGGTTTCGCCGTGAGCCTCGTAGTCCTGCACACACACACACACACACCTTGGAGCTCAGACCCCAGATACACGAGAGAACTCCCCTCCCTCCCTCCCACGAGGCTCTGGGGTCTTGAGTGGCTCTCGATGCCACTCAAGACCTTTTATACCGAAAATATGCCAATTTCTGAAAACGGCGATGGGTCATATTTTGCCCAAACCCTCCTGCAGTTTTCAAAATATCTGAAATATTGGAAATTTGACTCCTGAGCGTGATTTTTGAGCCGAATTCTGACTCTCTGCACCTATTTCATTTTCAAATTGCGACTTTTTATACCGAAAATATGCCAATTACTGAGAACGGCGATGGGTCTTATTTTGCCCAAACCCCCCTGCAGTTTTCAAAATATCTGAAATATTGGAAATTTGACACCTGAGCGTGATTTTTGAGCCGAATTCTGACTCTCTGCACCTATTTTCATTTTCAAATTACGAATTTTAAAACCGAAAATATGCCAAAAACTGAAAACGGCGATGGGTCATATTTTGCACAAACCCCCCTGCAGTTTTCAAAATATCTGAAATGTTGGAAATTTGACTCCTGAGCCTGATTTTTGAGCCGAATTCTGACTCTCTGCACCTATAATATATACCTATAATAGGTTAAGTAACAATTGTAATTACGAAGCTATAAGATGCTTATTTTAACATACTAAGTAGGTTAGGTAAGGTCGGTGTTTTCTATGAAGCTTTTCAAGGGAAACTATTATGTTTAGTATGTCACCTATGCACGCAACTAATAAGTCAATATTGACTTATTAAATTTGCGAGAACGGGATAGATAAGAGCTGCCTCGTATGGGCCAATAGGCCTTCTGCAGTTACCTTTGTTCTAATGCTCTTACATCTAATGCTCTTAGAGTCGGTCAGGTGAAGTAACAGTGAGAGGTTGTGTTAACCGGAGCTCCTGAGTGTTGTTATATTATCATAGCAATATGGAAGTTGTAGTGAAGGACCTGGTGACTCTAGTGGGAGCCCTGAGGACAGAGTTGGACTCTCTGCGGGAGGAGGTGCGTCAGCTTAAAAAACAACGAGAAGTAACGAAGGAGGAGACCAGCAGTAAAGGGACCTCGTCTTGGAGAGTTGCGAAAGACAGGGGCCTTAAGAAGACTTTGATAAAGCCGCCTTCAAACGCCGTAGCAACTTCAAATTCATTTGACGTTTTGGAGGACGAGTGCTGTGGAGAGACTGTGGATCGCGCAAAAGGGAAAGCAACGAAGAGAAAGGAAGCGCAGGCCCCTCAGAAAGTAAAGGAAGTACCTAAGCAAACATTAGTTGTGGGAGATTCCCAGATAAGGTATTTGGATAGAACGTTTTGTGCTAGAGATAGGGGGAACAGGTTAAGGGTTTGCTATCCCGGAGCTGGCATTGGTGATATTATAAACAACATGAATGATATTATGGCTGGTAATGGGAACAATCCCATTATTTGCATTAGCGTGGGAGGAAATGATGTTGGTCGAGTCAGGAGTGAGGAACTGATTCAGAGGTATAAAACAGCCATAGAGTTAGTTAGGAGCAAGGGAGGAATCCCGATCATATGTGGCATTCTTCCAAGAAAGGGAGTGGGAAATGAATGGATATCGAGGGCACTTGGTGTCAATTGCCGGCTGGAAAGATATTGCAAATCAAATGCAATATCTTTCATAGACAACTGGGAACACTTCTATGGAAGAAATGAAATGTATGCTCGTGATGGGGTGCATCTATCGAGAGCTGGGGTTGTTGCTGTTGCGAACTCGCTAGAAGAAGTGGTTAGAGGTGTTTGTTTGGGTTTAAACTGTTAGTAGATAGAGGTATGGGAATTGATTTGGAGGAAGGAGGTAATAAAAGTATGTGTTTGTGGGAGAAAGGAATTGGCAAAACGATCAGGGAAAGAGAAGGTCCGCAAAATAACAATTCACTTAGGGTATATTACACTAACAGTAGAAGTCTAAGAAATAAAATTAACGAATTAAATGCTCTTGTCTGCACAGAAAAAATAGATATTATTGCACTTACCGAAACGTGGATGAATGTAGAAAATAGAGAACTATTAGCTGAATATCAAATATATGGATTTAAACTATTTCACACAGATAGATATATTAGACGAGGAGGTGGAGTAGCCATATATGTTAGGGACAATTTGAAATGTAGTCTCAAAGAGGGAATCAAAACAGAGCCACACACAGAAACTATTTGGATTGAATTAAACGAAAAAGCTAATAATATTATAATAGGAGTAATATATAGGCCACCAAATTTAGACAGAATGGAAGCAAAGCATCTATGGGATGAAATATCTAGAGCATCTAGATCTAACAGTATTTATGTCATGGGTGACTTTAATTTTAGCGGAATAAACTGGTTGAACAAAACAGGGAATAGTGAAGCAGAAGATTTTCTAGAATTAATTGACGATTGCTTTCTTACGCAACACATTAAGGAACCAACACGGGAAAATAATATTTTAGATTTAGTGTTAACTAACAGGGAAACGCAAATTAATGACATCGAAATAGGGAGTGAGCTAGGGAGCAGTGATCACAAAGAAATCAGATTTAGCATAGAATGGAATAGACCAGTAGGAGAAAATTCTGTTAAAGTGCCAGATTTTCGAAAAGCTGATTTTAATAGCCTAAGAAATTTTTTGGGTCAAATTGATTGGAAAGGCTTGGGTATGGGGTGTGGGCCGGTCTTGGAGCGAGACATGAACCCAGCGATAGGTGACTTAAATGGGGATTTCGATGTGGATTCAATATATAACTTATTTAAGAATATTCTAAACAAAGCACAGGAACGTAGTATACCATACAAATTGAATAGATCGTATACTAATGACCCAAAGTGGATAACAAAGAATTTGAAGAACCTTATAGGTAAAAAGAGAGCTTGGTACAAAAGGATTAAAAATGGGGAGGTCACTTTAGAACAGGAATTCGTACAACTGGTTAGAAATGTTAAAAAAGAGATAAGGAAAGCAAAAAGAAACTATGAAGTTCGCATAGCAGGGCAAGCAAAGACAAATCCTAAAGGGTTTTTTCAGTTATATCGTACTAAGACTAGGGAAAGGATAGGTCCATTAAAAACTGAGACAGGTCAAATAACAGATAGTGATGAAGAGATGAGTAGTATTTTTAATAAATATTTTGTATCTGTATTTACTAAAGAGGAACTTAACAATATGCCTTCAGCCGAACAAGTCTATGTGGGTGGGGACGAGGACAGGTTGACGAGTTTAGCAGTTACCAGGGAGGATGTTCTTAAACAAATAGTAAAACTCAAACCAAACAAATCCCCAGGGCCGGATGAAGTGTTTGCTAGGGTGCTTAAAGAATGCAAAGAGGAGCTTTGTGACCCACTGTCAACCATATTTAATAAATCAATAGAGTCAGGCAGAGTGCCAGAGTTTTGGAAAGTTGCTAATGTGATACCAGTTTTTAAGAAAGGAGATAGATCACTTGCGTCTAACTATCGACCAATTAGCCTAACGTCTATTGTGGGAAAGTTACTCGAATCTATAATAGCAAATAAAATTCGTCTTCATCTTGAAAAACATAAATTAATAATTGAGTCGCAACATGGTTTTATAAATGGCCGTTCATGTTTAACAAATTTGTTATCTTTTTATTCTAGCATTGTTGAGGCAGTTGATAGTGGTAAGGATTGCGATGTTGTATACCTTGACTTTAGCAAAGCTTTTGATACAGTGCCACATGAAAGACTGATTAAAAAAATAGAGTCTCATGGTATTGGGGGTGCTATATTAAGCTGGATTAGGGCATGGCTATACCAAAGGAAACAGAGAGTTAGTATAAATGGAATCAAGTCAGAGTGGGAAAATGTTGTAAGTGGAGTGCCTCAAGGCTCTGTCCTGGGACCTCTGTTGTTTATAATATATATAAATGATTTAGATTCAGGTTTGAGTAGCAACATTTGCAAATTTGCCGATGATACGAAAATCGGTAGGGAAATTAATTCGGAGGAGGACTCACTATCACTTCAAGTTGATCTAGATAGGGTTTTGAAATGGTCAAAGGATTGGCAGATGCAGTTTAATGCTGATAAATGTAAAGTTCTGAGGTTAGGTAATGATGATAGAGTTACAAGATACGAGCTAGATGGTGTTGTGATTGCGAAGTCGGATTGCGAAAGGGATCTGGGAGTTATGATTAGTAAGAATTTAAAACAAAAGGATCAATGCATAAATGTTCGTAATAAGGCAAATCGGACACTTGGATTTATTAATCGCAGCGTTAGTAACAAGACACCTGGTGTGGTTCTCAAGCTATATCTTGCTCTAGTTAGGCCCCATTTAGATTATGCAGTTCAGTTTTGGTCGCCATATTATAGAATGGATATAAATTCACTTGAACGTGTCCAGCGTAGGATGACTAAGTTAATTCCCCAAATTAGAAATCTTTCATATGAAGAAAGATTAACAAAGCTTAAGTTGCATTCACTGGAAAGGCGAAGAGTTAGGGGTGACATGATAGAGGTTTACAAGTGGATGAATGGACATAACCGGGGGGATATTAATAGGGTATTAAAAGTATCAACACAGGACAGAACACGAAACAATGGATATAAATTGGATAAGTTTAGATTTAGGAAAGACTTGGGTAAATACTGGTTCAGTAACAGGGTTGTTGATTTGTGGAACCAATTGCCGCGTAACATTGTGGAGGTGGGGTCCCTCGATTGTTTCAAGCACGGGTTGGACAAGTATATGAGTGGGATTGGGTGGTTATAGAATAGGAGCTGCCTCGTATGGGCCAATAGGCCTTCTGCAGTTACCTTTGTTCTTATGTTCTTATGTTCTTATCTACAAATTATGAATGGACATAACAAATGGGGATATTAATAGGGTATTAAAAGTATCAACACAAGACAGAACACGAAACAATGGGTATAAATTGGATAAGTTTAGATTTTGGAAAGATTTGGGTAAATACTGGTTCGGTAACAGGGTTGTTGATTTGTGGAACCAATTGCCGCGTAACGTGGTGGAGGTGGGGTCCCTCGATTGTTTCAAGCGTGGGTTGGACATGTATATGAGTGGGATTGGGTGGTTATAAATAGGAGATGCCTCGTATGGGCCAATAGGCCTTCTGCAGTTACACATAAGAACATAAGAACAAAGGTAACTGCAGAAGGCCTATTGGCTCATACGAGGCAGCTCCTATTTATAACCACCCAATCCCACTCATATACATGTCCAACCCACGCTTGAAACAATCGAGGGACCCCACCTCCACCACGTTACGCGGTAATTGGTTCCACAAATCAACAACCTTGTTACCGAACCAGTATTTACCCAAGTCTTTCCTAAATCTGAACTTATCCAATTTATACCCATTGTTTCGTGTTCTGTCTTTTGTAGATACTTTTAATACCCTATTAATATCCCGCTTGTTTTCTTTATTCATCCACTTGTAAACCTCTTACCATGTTACCCCTAACTTTTTGCCTTTCCAGTGAATGCACACATGATAATTCTAATCGTCTTTTTCGACTTCTCTTCAACAACTGGTAGGAGAGAGAGAGAGATAGAGAGAGAGAGTGGCGAGAGAGAAAGAGAGAGCGTGTAGAGGAGACCAGAGGCGGGGAGGACTCGGAGACATTGTTGTTATGGCGTCAGGGGAGGCGGCCGCCCACCTCACCTCTCCTCCATAAATAGAATATATCTCGCTGCTATTGTTTGTGTGTTATGACAGATCTTCTCTAGCTCGGCCTGCGAGTTTACGAGGTAAGTTAGAGGGAGGAGGTGTGTGTGATCCAGTGGCGGCTCCGGGAATGTTGGGGAGATATATTTATAAAGGTTATGTTGGTGGCTGTAGCATCGGCTTAGTCCTGTGAGGTGGTGCCGTTGGAGGCTGCCGGTGGTGACCTCCACCACCTCTGGGAGCTGCCGGTGGTGACCTCCACCACCTCTGGGGGGCCGCTGACCCCCACCACCTCCGAGGCCTGGTTTCTGCTCGAACCAACAGCTCTTGTAAGGGTTTTACTACTATCTTGAGCCTACACAAAGTTAAAATAAAAATACATAATATGATGTACATAACATTGATGGGGCTGCATGGTATTGATTGACTAATTTATTTGTTGATTATTTAGCAATAACTAAATTACTGGTTAAGGTAAAAAAAAATCACATGACTTGGTCAATTACCAGTCTGGCTTTAAACTGTTATATCAGTCTGAACTGTCTTGTGTACGAAGTACCCTGCATCCATGTAGAGCCCTTTGAACAGGTTCATGTTCAAACCTAACACAGTGGTCTGTAGTGGGTTCAGAACCAGTTGGTCCCGAGGTCAGTCCCGGCAGCAGAACAGAGGCATTTGGTATGCCTCTGGTATGTATCAGTTGTATGGTGTTCACATGCATACGCCCAATTTCAAGGATGTTAATCCGGACACTTTCTTCGAAAGGTCAGATGTAACACGAACGAGGAGCAACAGGTTCAAGCTCAACAAGGGTTGTAAACCCATGAAACCATCTACCTGCCGAAGCTGTAGATGCCAAATCTCTGCTGAGTTTTAAAATACAGCTGGAAAAGATCATCAGGGTGATGAGGTTTTTTGTCCTCGTTGAGGCCACTAGTATCCCCTCAGGTAAATTCAGGTAAATATCTTAAAAGACAAATCACTAAAATTAAGAAGGTTCACAAACATGCTAGAGGGTTTCAGACCTGAAAAAAACAAGAACTGAGGCTTTAAACAAAAGCTAGTAGATAAATGGAAAGGAGGAGATATGATTATCACTTCTGATAAGAATTGACAAAGTTGACAAGGAAGAATTTCTAAAAGCTGTAACGTCTAAAACAAGAAAGCCGAAGTGCAGAAATGATGTCCAAATGTTCCCTCTTTTGAATCGGTTTGTGAATGGTTGGAACAAGTTAAGTGAGTTGGTGGTATGTGGTAAAACCATCAGTAGTTTCAAAGTCATATGACATATGATTATAGGGTATAATCTGTATGACTTGTATACAATACAGTTTGTATAAACTATACAGCAGCAACATCACTTTAGTTACAACAGTTGGCTATTGGCTCTTGTTTACTTTTCTGTAACTTCACAATCTCGTGCATTCTTATGACAACAGATAGCCAACAGTATTGTCTAAAATTTTAATAATGGCCAATACAAAAATAAATTAAAATGTATTCTGCTACATAACAAATGGAGAAAACTATTGCAAGATGTACAATGCTAATTCTAAATTCTCTCTTTCAGGTGAATCAAGATGTCATCAATCAGTGATACATCAACTTGGTTAAAGTTCTTCACCGAGGCTGGAATCCCAGCGGGAGAAGCAACTAATTATGCCATCATCTTCACCGACAATCGTATTAAACAAGATATGCTTATGGATCTGAACAGGGAATACTTGCGTGATATGGGGATCACGGTAATGGGTGACATTATTGCAATACTTAAACATGCCAAGATTTTCTCTGGTCATTTGTCTCGTCAGAGAGTGTTGCAGGCCTCATCCCCCCAAACTCCTCAGTATGATACAAGTGCATCACATTCATCAAGTAAGAAAAGTACACCTGCATCTAGAATGCTAGAGCATTATGTTCGTAAAGAAGGACCCCCATCTCCACCTAATGGTAACTCCAGTCTTTCTCAGAGCCTGTCAGCACGTTTAAGTAGTGGTAATAAAAGATCAGTTGAAGATGATGACTCGTCGAGTGCTAACAAGAGAAGTTCAGTTTTTAACCGTTTAGGTGATAATTCTGTGACGAGCACTACTAGTGAAACTCCTAAGATCACAATCACTATGCACGGTAAAGATATAATTCGCACAGCTACAGGCACTGAATCTAATAAAAAATCATCACCATCTGTATTTGGCCGATTAGGTAGCAAGGATGATAATACAAAGGGAGGGGCTTCTGATCATGAACTTAGTCCCGGTAAACCACTAGAATATCAAGGCATTCTAAAGTATTCATCTAGTGACAGTTTTGATAAGCCTAGTTTTGCCCGAAAAAAGGTCATAGCTATTCCAGGAGGAACAAAAGTTGCAACCATGACTGCAGATACTACGACAGGTATTAAAAGCAGACTGGGACTCCAAAGCATTACATCAAACAGTTCATGTACTAGTGCTGGAATATTTGCAAGGGAGACTGCAGAAGCTCGTAAATCAAAATCACCAGCCAAGTCTACTACGTCGAGCAGCATCTCTTCCAGTCGCTTGAAAACGAAGGCATCAACTTCAAAAAGCAGTAATTTAAAATTGAAAGCATCACCATCAACCTCTAAAGAAACGCCATTGCCTGGTAGAACTGTTGTGTCAGCAGCTGCGACTTCATCGAGCCCCTCTCTGGGCAAAAAGTATGTTAAGAAGATTGTCAAAGTAAACAAAAAAACAGGTGAAATTGTCAGTGAAGAAAAGATACTATTAAAGACGGATGTATTCAGTAGACTTGGTAATTGATCTGAACCATTTTGAAAGTTAAAATGATTTAACTTGTTAAATTACATTTAATTCAGATTAACATTTAATGTGAATCGGTGAAAGGAAAAATTAGAGCAGGTGTAAATATTTTGGTAATAAAAATGTGTACCTTAATATTGCTTTAATCACTGCCAATTAATTGTATGTAGAAATGGAATGTTGGTAGAGTATAAAGTGTGTAAATTCCTTCTAGTTGTAAATTTTACCATTAATAATATGGATATAACAATCCAGGCTACTTTGAGGCAGTAGAAGGGTCGCTCATGACTTCAACTGCTGTAATATTAAGCTTCAAATATTCTTTAACAAATGATCTTTGTTAGTGTATTGAAAATTTATTTTCTATAGATCTCTTGATACAGTATTCTCTTACTGTAGACATGTGATTCAATTGAGATTTATACTGTACTTTGCTGTGACTTCGATTGCTCCACAAGTTATTTCCTATTTTGCTTTAAGATTATTTTAATTATTATTCCAGTTGAAATGCAAATAAATATCTGATGGTCTTGCATATTATTCGACTTATTGCAGTGTAATAAATGTAAAGTCATTAAACTTCTCTAAGCTGAATAGAATAAATATCTATTTAGAACAAATTTAACTTTCAACCGAGTTCAAGAACCAGTTGTTGCTTGAGCTGTGACCTCAAAAATGCATTTAAAGTATTTTGTTTAGGATGTAGTAATATCAATACAATCTATTACGTATGATACTGACATCAAGTGTCTTATTTTCATTCCTTTATAATTTGTAGTATCCAAGCAGTACTAGTATTTACACATTACACACAGCAATCACAATAGCGTGATGCATCAATGAATAAAGTATTTACACACTAAATACTAGTTTACTAGTGTATATATTAATGAACAAAAGTATTTGTTATAGTATTTAATTACTATTTATTTTATTACAGTTGTGGTAGTAGTCCTAATAGTATTCAATGGTTACCATATGTAGTAGTTGTAGTAGTGTGCAGTAGTAGGTACTGTCGTGTTCCAAACATCATTGGAGGACAGGTCACATTGGATAAATTCCAGATTGCACTTTGCAGTAATTTCAGAATTAGTCTAAATGAACTCATGTGTAACCTGATGACATGATGTTAGATTCAAGCCTGTAGGGCAGTGCACTCTTTGGATACTGGATAATGTTAGAACTATTAGTCCAATTATAAATTTTACAAGTTGCATTTGTCTTTTATAAATGTTTTAGCTTGTACTGTATTGTATTATAAATTGTTCAAAAGCATATTTTTTTTTACTGAAGCATTTTCACTGGCTTTTTTTTAATATATAATTAATAATACCCATAACTCATTTTGTCAAGGGACAGCCAGTGTATATGTATCAGTGTATACAGTACCTGTGTATATGTACAAGCCTAAACATATACTGTATACAGGTATACAGTATATATGTTTACTCCTAAACATATATACAGGTATACAGTATATATGTTTACTCCTAAACATATATACAGGTACAGTACCTATATATATATTTAGGCTTATATCACCCCCCCCCCCCCCCCCCCCCTAGGTTGAATTACTGACCCTTTCCAGTATACAACCCCCCACAAGAAGTTGGCTAACTCCTAGGTATCTATTTACTGGAAGGTGAACAGGCCCATTAGGTGATAAGAAATGCGCCCAACCATTTCTGGATTTGAACCCAGAATTCTCGATTGCGAGTCAATAATGAGTTGAATGGATATAATAGACAAGGGTAATAGGAACTTTCTTATCACTGATTATCAAAACCAGGGCTTGTTATAAAAGGGAGCAGAGTAGTGGTAAGCGTAATGGCAAAAAAATAAAACGTATGTATGAGGATTTGGATGATGTGGTTTTCCTGTGATTTTTGCTTCTTTTTTTTTTATTTGTACTGTAGTCAGTTTAGAAAGTTTATTCCCCAAACCTGGTCTTGGGCACAGGCTTCTTTGGGGATAACTTGATTATCCAGGCTGCTATTTTTTTAGCAATATCAGGTATATTGTCTGAATTGTGCATGTTCTTCATGAAACTGTCAGGATCTTCAACTTTCAAGTTGCCTGTCAGATGCTAAACATGTCTTTATATGGCTCTTTCTGAATTTCACTAATTTCTTTGTCACTGTCTATTAAATTCTGGAAGGTCCTGATTTTTCATATGTACAGTATAACATTTTATATCATTTGTTTTTCTTCAGTCACCCCTATTTATATTTATTTTTATATTGTGCGGCTGCTTGATCATTTTATTTATTCTTCTCTTTCTTGTAGTGTCTTGCATTCTCAAAGTCAGTTCTCTTTTTGGTCTTCAGCAAAGGTACAATCCCTGGATCACAGGCTGTATTGCTGTTGGTCTATAGCTGAAAGACTGGCACTAACCATAAGCATTTTAAAACTTGAGGGCCATGCCTATGCTTCAAAAAAGGTAAGTGAAAAACAGTTTGGTATCTTTGCATCATAATTTTATATGCATGCACAATATTTGTTTATGTATAATTTGTCTAAATACACCAAAACATGAATCATTTGCCAAAAGATTGGAAAATTTAGTGAGAAATAGTCAAAAAGGGTGATTACAGTACCCCTGTATTCGTAAATTTAAATTTCATGTAAATCTGGATTGGGTCCTGAGTGATATACAATAATCTGGATTTTGGATGGTCCAGTGTAAAAAAAAAATCAAATATTTATGTAAAATACTGTAGTTTAATAAATTATTACAGTACTGTACTTAACTTGCCAAAAGAGTAGTGTACTGTTAAGTGAAATACCCTCAGTGCCAGATGTGATTTGAAAGAAGTTGATTTACAGTAACTTTTTATATAATTCATATCATATTGTACAGTACAGTATATACAAAACACTAAGGGTTCACATTTCACAACATTTTTAGAATTGACGTAGATCTTAGGTACTGTAACCTGTCCATGCAATTTTCCAATTCTCTGGGCTTAGCAGCTTGTCCTAAAAATATTTATTCATATTTTTAATATGACTAAAATGCCTTTGGAATAATAAATAGGGAATAATTATTTGGAATAACAAATAGTATTTGAAAAGTACTTTTAGTAAAAAACTACAGTGTAAGTAGAAATATAAATTACATTTTTTCTTCAAAATATGTAATAGTGTTCTAACATTCATGAAATTATTTATTAAAGAGAAACATTTTGCTAGTAGTGTGGCACAAAATAACACCATGATAAAATTATTAATGATAATAATATAGTACCAGTACAGCACTATTATTTGAGACACCATCAGGCTAGCACATTGTCAAGTCTCAATTTGCCACACTGCACGGAAGGACTAGTCCTCTTCAACATGTACTGAAACTACTTTAACAAATGCCTATTAGGCCACTATATAGTACATTATATAACTCCAAGATATCAGTGTTACTTATTCTAGTATTTGTGACCCTATGCTGTACTGCACACTATAATAACAAAATTAGCTCTGCACTACATTATGCCCCCCCCCTGAAAAAAGCCATTATAGTACCAAAGTTTTGCATGATATGAACACTTTCAAATCATACCATGATTTGGTCCATCAGCTGTATGTTCTTTGCTCATACACTACGGATACTTTTTGAGATACCCGGGATGGGCATTGGAAACCCCAGAGTGAATCTTACCCTCTGTGAATATTACGATACATTTAGACATCCTACTTATAACTCAGATATGTAATATTGGTTCTAAAGTCTAATTTTGAAAGGTTAGACATGACACCATATGGCATCAAATCTTAATTGCTTAAGAAGCAATCTCTGGACTGGGTTTATGCTCATTTAGTACATTGTTTGACAGTACCTGGCAGTGATAAACAAATTTAAAGTACGTAAAGGTGCTTGGCTCATAAATTGGGAATTCAGCATTTTCAGGGAAGTTTAGATTGGGTTCAAAATTTTAAGAGATGTATGTCATTAGCAGAAAAATGGTATCTGGGAGAAATTTATTGTGGATGGGAACTATTAAAAAGATAACGATAAAATCATTGCTGACTATAAATTTAATTATTTAAATTTACACCATAGGCGAGACTGATCTTTTGTGGAGAGGTTTGTCATTTGAAACACAGGCTAGTAGGTTAGAGGAAACCATATTTGATTATACAGTATATGTACTTATAGACAAATAATTTGACTTGCATATTATATCATTCAAATAATATTTGTAACAAAACCCCATAATACTGTAGTAAAATGCACAGATGATAATTCAGTCTATCCTAGAACAGGATGGATCAGACATATCTTAATTTTTTTTAATGTGTGGGTTTAGTGTTTAAATTAAAAAAAATTAATGGACATGGCAGTTCCATCCATACTCTAATGTTACCTTGGGTCCATCACTCATACCTCGGTATCTGTCGCAGACAGCACCTTGGGTTCCACAAATGCATGTTATAGATTGTGGAATAACATAAAATGTAAAACTAAAGTTGGAAAATGCAGCAGTTGTATGGTGCCCATACCCCAAGAAGCAATGATCTGGATTAGGTGCAAAGGCATGCAACTATGTGGCTCCCGGAACTGAAAAACGAGCTACAAGGAGAGGATAGATAGGCATTAAATATACCGAAGTTAGAAGATAAGAGAAAAAGAGGTGATTTGATCACTACATACAAAATTGTAATGTATCGACAAAATTGACAAGAAAAATTGTTTAAAGCTGCAATTTCAAGAAAGGACAGGTTCAAACTATTGAAACAAAGCTGCCAAAAAACATTAGAAAGTTGACTTTTGCCAACAAGAGTGGTCAATGGTTGGAACAAGAGTAGTCAATGGTTGGAACAAGAGTGGTCAATGGTTGGAACAAGAGTGGTCAATGGTTGGAACAAGAGTGGTCAATGGTTGGAACAAGAGTGGTCAATGGTTGGAACAAGAGTGGTCAATGGTTGGAACAAGAGTGGTCAATGGTTGGAACAAGAGTGGTCAATGGTTGGAACAAGAGTGGTCAATGGTTGGAACAAGAGTGGTCAATGGTTGGAACAAGAGTGGTCAATGGTTGGAACAAGTGAAGTGAGAAGGTGGTTAATGCCAAAACTATCAGTAGTTTCAAAGTGTCATATGACAAAGACTTATGGGAAGACGGGACACCACGTGCATAGCTCTCATCCTTTAACTGCACTTAGGTAATTAATTAATCATACCTCAATATCTGTCACAGGTAGCACCTTGGGTCTCTCATTCATACTTCAATATCTGTTGGTTTTAATAACCTGTTGTTCTTACTGTATTCTTTGGACTTTAAGGCTGAACAAATTTAGAAAAACTTAAAGCATAGTTTCATGTGAAACATTACAGTGTGTTTCCTTGAGTTGACTCATAGTTGCTATGGATTCTTTTAAGTCATTTATTTGTTCCTGGAGTTTAAACAAAATTACATTTTCACTTTTAAGAGAAATATCAACAGTATCACTTTTGTTGTTGTCACTATCATACCTATGTATGACAGCAGCATTGCTTGTTCCCAACTGGATGCCACTCTCAAGGAGGATCCTGGTGTTCCTGATTATCCAAGATGGCAATTTGAAACCAGTAGGAATTGGTTTTTGTTTATTTGATTGTCTGCAATACACCTGTGCTGGGTCCACTGTGTCATATGGTTGTATAAACACATTGTAGCGATTCATATGTCCACATTTAGTATATGCTGCTGAAATAGAGATTTAGAAAAAATTAATAACATTTCTAAAATGTTAGAATTTTTATACTGTATACATTACATACATTATATAATTCCTCACTGTCCAGTTACACTACCTTAATCTAGCCACTTGTATCCATCTATTTATGTTAGATGAATACATTATTTCCTTTATTGTCTGATATTTTATACTGTACTAATGTTTCACTTCTAAACATTGGGCTGAAGCTACACTTTACAAAAGCATTTTTAACATAACTATCTACGGGCTCACCATAGCCCGTGTTACTTGGAACTTTTTGTTCCAGGTAGCGAATCTTTAACAACAAACAACATTTTTAACATTTATCTATATAAAAGAGAATCTGTTCAAGGTTAAAGGCCAGATACCTGTGGCTAGCCGCATCAAACTTTACTGGGTGGCTGGTGGTGGTTTGGGGATGGCCATAGGTGGGTTGGGGTCAACCCCTTTAAATGGCAAATGATACCAATTTTCAATCTTGCTAAATACCAGCCTTCATCCTCACTAAGATTCATCCAGCATATTATTTTCTACATGATTAAACATTAATATTTCATATGTAGCTTTATTATTTATGGGGGGGGGACTGTGTATTGACGATGGTTACAGTGATGTAGGGAAGGTGGTGAATCGGAAGAAAAGTAGCGAAGGATGGGAAGGTAGTGATGGTTGTAGATGAATTTTTATATTGGTAAAGACAGTATGTAGCAAGTATGTAGTGAAGATGGTTATGTGTGGTGAACATGGATACACGATGATGGTTATGTGTAGTGAACATGGATACACGATGATGGTTATGTGTAGTGAACATGGATACACGATGATGGTTATGTGTAGTGAACATGGATACACGATGATGGTTATGTGTAGTGAACATGGATACACGATGATGGTTATGTGTAGTGAACATGGATACACGATGATGGTTATGTGTAGTGAACATGGATACACGATGATGGTTATGTGTAGTGAACATGGATACAAGATGATGGTTATGTGTAGTGAACATGGATACACGATGATGGTTATGTGTAGTGAACATGGATACACGATGATGGTTATGTGTAGTGAACATGGATACACGATGATGGTTATGTGTAGTGAACATGGATACACGATGATGGTTATGTGTAGTGAACATGGATACACGATGATGGTTATGTGTAGTGAACATGGATACACGATAATGGTTGTGTAAACAGCCCGTCCTCCTAAGGTTTCCCAAAGTCAAGAAAACTGTCAAATTAAAGTGTCCTCTCCTAACCTATCAGAAGACCCAAAACAGAAAATGGGACAGTATGTCACTTTTGTGAGCTGTCTCCATTTTTACGTACTACGACAATTTTTGGCCTTATAACCATTTTGTTATATATTGTAATTCATTGTGTCGTGGGACAGGAAGCCAGAGTGTATTTATACACGTTAGATTTTTATCAAGGTTTCCCAGGTTGAATTGCTGACCCTGCCCAGCATGCAATCCCATAACAAGCTGACTAACTCCTGAGTACCTACTTACTCCTAGGTGAACAGGGCATTAAGTGTTCATTTGGGTGGATATAAATAGGAACTGCCATGTACAGTATAGGCCGATAGACCTGCAGTTTCCTTTTAAAGTTCTTGTAGTCACTCAAAGGTTGCTTTTTCTGTTTGAATTTATTAGATTCCTGTTGCAAGAGTAAGTTAAAAATAGTTATTATACAGTACAGTATTTATTACTGTAATATATAATGAAGTCATTGTATATTCAAACACAAAAATCATTTGTTTTGGTAGGTGCACACATACATTGTCATTTGCTATATAAACCTCCCAAGAAAAAGGCAGTAAGAAGCCTCCCACTCCTCCCCAAATGAAAACAATGCAGCTTCCTCCCAAATCCAGATCACATTCAGATATATATAATCTGGATTATAAACATTGCATTGTACTGTAAAGTAGTTGGGTCAAACAATATAATGGTTTTGAATGTATGGTATATATTTAAAGTATAAATTTATTATAATTTTTTACCTTCTGCTTCAAATGTCCACCACTCAAACGTTGCTAATGTATGCTTTCTTGGACTGAAAATGGAGAGAAATCTTGAAGGAAATTGTTGGAGAAGGGAAAACTTTTTTCTTAACCAGGCTAAATGCTTGTCTGGAAGAAGGTAGGAGATCAAGTGAGAAGAATACATTTGATCAACCATTGCCTCGTGCTCCACTGTGAGAGCCAGGCGTCGAACCCCAGCAACCTTCAACAAATCTTGGATATTCTGTGTGGAAGAATCATAAAAGAAGATTAATATGCACAATTCACATTGTAAAGCTTGTTCTATTAATAATCTATAAATAATGGATGAATTTTGTTAACAAACCATTTCTCCAAAATCTGGATTCATAGAAGCAATTGCTGAAATCTGGATCTACTCTGCACAGAACAGTACACTGTACAGTGCTATCGTACAGTAATTTTTTAATTATTTTAAGAAATATTTTAATGTGCTTGTACTATAATTTTTTGAGATATATACAAGAGTTGTTACATTCTTGTACAGCCACTAGTACGCGTAGCGTTTCGGGCAGGTCCCTGGAATACGATCCCCTGCTGCGAAGAATCGTTTTTTCATCCAAGTACACATTTTACTGTTGCATTAAACAGAGGCTACAGTTAAGGATTTGCGCCCAATAAATCCTCCCCGGCCAGGATACGAATTGTACAATACAGTTTACGTACAGCATGTGACTTTCAGTAAGCCCACCAACTCTCAGATGGTTGCCTTTCCACGTGTCCACCTTGACTGAGATTTCTGCCTTTGGTATCATTATGGGAAAACTTAAATTACTATAAACAAAAGAAATGTCTTTGGTGTTAGCATACAATACTAGTGTAGACTGTGGTTGAAAACTGTGTTTTAGGGAAGAAAAATAAGACTATATGGCCCCATTACACATTCAACATTGGGAAGTCCTCTCTCCATGTGTTTGTTTTGATTGCATTACTTTATGTAGTTTACACATCTGGGAGTAATAGAATAAAGAATCTTTGAAACAATATTTCGAACACGTGAGAAGCTACTTTCTCAACAACTCGAGACCTCTCTTCCAGTGATGCACTTGGCTTTTGTATGTGTTTTGCTATAGATCAGGATATGTGTGGGGTTTATATGGCTGACAAGGTCAGCCTCACACGGGAGACATCTCCCGTCACGCAGGGTGCAGTTGCACCTCCACAGATCTCCAGTATCAGCTCTTGATACTAGTAATGGCTCAAAAGGGCCACCACTTACGGGCTATTCATGCCCGTGCCACCTTTTGGGTGGCTTAATCTTCATTAATCAATCATCGGCCTCAGTTCATGTTGCAACTTTGATGTTGCTTTACCATGACAGTAGTGGTGGTATATGTGCTCTGGTATTTCCGTAAAGGGTAAAATACAAAGCCTTGCGGCTATATGAATGTCACCAGTCGGTGGAAATGAACATGCCTGACGGAAAAAACATACTGATAGGCCCTGAGGGAGGAAAGCACTGGCCCCCCTCCCAACGTAAAGAACACTTTGTTGCCAAAGAAAGTCAAAGCAAAAACATGGTTTCTCCTAAACTCATACCCAAGTTTGACATACCCAAATGGGTAAAAAAAAAAAAAAAAAAGTCATCCAATGACTGCCTACCATTCCCTAAGAGCAAACCAGGAGCCTGCCCAGACCCACCAACTTCCAGCACCTCCATATTGCTGTTTTGGGAGAGTCAGGAGTGAATAGGCAGTGTGTTTTGATTGATTAAACTAGCAAGTTATTTTCCTATTGGCAGACTTGTGCAGTTTAATGTATCTGAGATTAAGAACAAACCCTTCTCAACATCTTTTATCCTAGCATGATTGATTCTGTCTCTGGTGACATCCAAGCACCCTCCAAATGATCTTACAGGGTGCCGTAGGCATCACAGTATTGGTTTTGTGTGTATTCCCTGCCTGATAATGTCATAATTGTCAGTGGACACAGTGGATCACTGTACATCAGGATGCTGCAGAATAACTTGGAAGGAGCTTTTAACAAGCTCACTTTGTATATTATAAACAGAGACTATTCACCACTATTATGCCATACTAAATACTTAAAATATGTTCAACAAACCTGCACTGCAAGGCCCACCAAGAGATTTGCGATGACCACTGTTATGAACAATACAAAGACGACAAACAGCACTTCTGGCATTCCTGAAATAATTTCACAGTGTGGACTTACAGCTTTTACAGGCTTATGAGGTTGTATAGAGTTAATGCTAAATAGTAATTTGTAAATATATTCTCAGGAATGATAAACTTGTCAAGGTAAAGCTAACAACCAGTAGGCTCCAGTCATTTTTACACATTACCCGATAATTTGAACATTTTAACTATTAAACCAAGATGTCAAGCCGAATTCTGGAGAATTCTGGGAAACTAGTTTGTATAGAAGAATTGCAAATTTTCAAATTATTTGAAGACTGCAATACCACCTAAAACATCAGGC